AAGGAAGGAAGGAAGGAAGGAAGGAAGAAAATCCCATATATACACAGCAACAACACCTCCTCGGAGACAACCAATCAGTATTGAGTCAATACGCTTGATGGATACGTGTTATGTTGATATATAAAAACTACGGATATTCCTGCACGCATCAGTCTTTCATTACAGTCTTACATTCACTATTTTATAGTCAAGCCAGAATAACACAATTAAGTAGTTTTGATCTCCGCGTTATTGGATAAGCATTTGTACATTGACTGAGCTGTTATACATCAACAATTCAAAGACTTGTGACTGATTTATTGAATGCGAATAATGATTTATTTATCGTTCCACATAAGACTAAATAACTTTTGTGTTAAAATTGAGCAATCCTTTTTTGTCAGCTAGATGATATCAATCGATGGTCTGTGAAGGTTGTAAGCGAAAAGACGCATGCGCAAACTACTTCATGCGATTTACTTACAAAGATAGGAGATTTAATTGAACAGGATTATCTTAGAAACCAAAGGATTATCAGCATTGACTTGCGGAAAACTTTCGGGGTCTTTCGAATTCATTCAACACCTGCAATAATGAATCGATGGCACTAGTACTATGTAGTAGGGTTTCTGTGCTCGTACTGTTTTTATTGTTAATGTTTATGCTGCTGTTGCTGTTGCATTAGCGGATCAAAAATGATTTTTAGGGGGTGACTGTTATCTAGAAAGGCATCATATAGCGTCCTTTATAATTCTTAACTGCAACTTCAAAGAGTATTGACTTGTCACCCTCACCCTCTCCCCCTGATCCATCCTTGTGTTGCTGCTTCTTAAGTTGTTGTATGTATTTGTTGTTTCTATGCTTCTATTTCATCGTATTATTATTGAATCCATTGTTGCTGTTACTAGTTGATATATTTGTTGTTTCAGTGCTGCTTTCCCTGATAAATATTTTTCTTTTTGTTTGGAATTCTGTATTTCGTTTGTTCACGATTCATTAGGTTTGTAAAGTGCGTGAAAACAGAAAGACTGCTTTTCGGTAAACTAAATTTTGGCCTGTCTCCGGCCCGTGCCGTCAGCCATCAAATCTCTGCTTAGAATATGTCAATGTCGTCTCTTTTTTTTTCAAACAGCTTTGGCTATGTCATTGCTTTCCTAGGATGTGAAAAGAAGGTTTCTTTTCTTTTCCTATTTTTCTTTTCTTTTCTTTTGTTTTCTAATCCCAGCCATTTACCATCCCTAAAATGTTCATGAAAATTCCTTTTCTTTTCGAATTCCTTCATTTTCTTTCCTATTATTCTTTCTGTCATTTCATTTCATTCCCAAATTTACTTCTTCCATTTTATTCCATTTCATCACTCTTTTATATTCCCTTCCTAACTATGATTTACTTCGGTCTTATCTTTTCTAAAGATTTACATACAAGCCACGAAATAGGGAAGTACTGATGTTTGAGCCCGTCAGAATAACGTATAGATAAACCCGGACACCAAGTGTGCCAAGGTTTCAATAAAGAATATCTCCAAAACCCGTCTATAGAATCATCTGTCATCGCTTTTTAAGGACCTCAAGGGCTTTTTTAAATCTCTAGTTTTCCGTTCTACACCGAGAAAATAACACTTGTCTTCAAGTGTTGCTGAAAACTGCAAGAGTATAATGAGTGTTAAATCAACAATTTTTCCTAAACTTTTTCAAAATACAATTTAGAATCCTATGCCAAAAATATACGAATCTCAAACGTCACGATCATCGTTGAATTAGGACATCAGAAATAAATTATTTGCTGAAGGAATAATAAAGATAAATTGTTTCAATGTTGTTGTTTTTTGTTAAAAAAAGAGAAGATTTTGATTTTCACATTCGCTTCAAACTTTGAAAAAACATTCCGGCGGTTACCATAGAAACGTTCTTCACTTTTTTCTTTGCGCGTTAAGTTTAAGAGCATCCAATCAGAAATAGTACTGGCTTAAATTGCGCTATTGAAATAATTGTCTTTGAACTTTGGGTTAAAAAAGATAAGATTAAATCTGCCGCTGTACTTCAATCAAAAAATATTTTTTCATATGTTCCATTTTAGTTTTTACATTGTATTCCCAATATTCTTACACGATTTTGTTTCGTTAAGATTCCAGTTCTTTTTTTTCTCGAATTTTGAGCGAATTGGTCAGTTTTAGCTTGGAATGACACAAACTTTTAACTTCGCGAGATCTACATACACTCTCCCCATCACTATATATATAGCCAACGCACAATGTAGTTTTCTCTATCTGTACTTTGACGTCTCCTTGTCTAAACAAAAAAATGTCGAAGGGAGGAAAACTCAAAAACAGCAAAGAAAAATAGAAATATCACCTGTTCAAGTTACAAAATCCTCACCCTTATTTCAAGATTAATAAAAAATTCTGTTCATCCCATTCAAAAGTCTCACTAAATACAATAACTGATGTTACAAAATTTAACCCAGAAAGCGATAAAAGAAACTGGCTTTCAGCTGTAAAACTAGATGTTGCTATTAAAATCACTAATCGTTTAGTTTCAATAATTGGGAACTCACCGGCTAATAGTTTTGAGACGTTTGAATGTAGCAATCCTGATTTTGCAATTAAATATTTAGTTGTTCGACTGAAAATCTTAAACGAAGATGCAACCAGCCTTGATGAATGACAACTTTTGCTTAATAGTCGAGGCTTTTAAGCACTTTCCTATACCAATTGGTTCTCTGTCTGGGATCTATTCCTCGTGATATCCATTACCGGGGAATCGTGTCACAGTTCACGATAGGCTTTTTGTTTTACACTTGGTTGTTGACATAATCTTTAGCAGCTGTCTTCGAAGTCTTTTGCATAGGGATGACGGGAATAGGATCTTGTAAGAAGATTAATCAAACAACCATTTCTTAAGGTCTCAATCACCCAGGAAAAGCGTGAGACTTCAAAAATACTAGGGAAAATTTAATCGGCGAGGTGCAAAGTAAAAATAGATGTTAATGACTTGGTTTATGATGATTAAAGATTGAGTAAGATCAGTTAGTGTTGGAACAGGATGTCTACGGATCCTTTCATCTCCTCAAGAAAGAATAAAAGGAAAACAAAAAGTAATGAGATATTTAACGATAAGATTTTGTTTTGTTCTAAGTCCAGTCTAAGTCAGATTCGTTTTGCTAATACAAACTGGCAAATTAAGGATTACCAAGAAAAATGACACCAAATAGAAAGGAAGGAGAATATTTTTTTAAAGGAGTCCTTTGATGGCTGGTGCGTTTATGAACTGCCCGTTTTCTTCATTGATATTAATTACCCTTTTCGTACGCTTTCACTTATATTGGATTTTTGTGACGAAATTAAATTAAATTCGCAGTCTATATATGACTGAAATGTCTAACATCCGCAGCCGAGCACGTATAGTTGATAATATAAACTTGAAGTGAAGTTGGACGTGACAGAAGTTTGTCAATGACTAGTTTGAATATCAAGATGTAAGAGACTTAAAATAAACCGACGAAAGTAAAAAACCTTATCTTGTATCTTTTCAGCTGTTATTTCAGCTTTGCATGGCGGTCAGTGTGTATTCTAAATATGGTTTAAAATATAGGACATGAACATGATGAAGCGTGCTTATGGCTAATGGCAATTTATAAACATCACTTCTCTTTGTCAATACACAGTTCCGAGGAATAAATATACCAGAGTAGTTTATAGATGATATATGACGATCGTGCAGGGGAGCAATTCCTAACCAAATATGGGTTCAAATTAGTCTTAGTTGAAGGTTCAGTTGTTGTATACGAGCTTACTCGGAAGGGGAAAACCATAGATTGAAAAAGCGGGAAATTGACAAAGTTCTTCCTCGTGTGAGAACTTAACTGGTAGGAGGAATGGATAAAGTGTTTATCGGCCGTTTTAGTTCCGGGCATATTACTAACAATCACTTATATTTGTCGGAAAGTAGGCCCTTTATGGTCATTGATTTGTGATGAGATTTTAGCGGGAAATCATTAACAGGTTACAACCAAACGGAGCATATAACTCGGTCATAATACTAAGACTCTACTTGTGGGCAGGTCGTATGAGTAATACTGAGTGCCTCAAAACTTAGTATGGCGCAATGTTGTGATAATTTAACATGGAGCGGTCAAAGCAAGGGCTGATATCGTCATTACCGGCCACAGATAAAACCAATATTTAAAGGCCAATTAATTTACACAGGGATGTATAGCAGCCGCAAGGAAATAACTTCAAAGATGTGATAATCGTGAAAATATATAATAAATATAACGTGAAACATGCAGGTATATTTTCCGTAAATAGGAATAGGATGATTATAAGATAGTACGTGCGCTTGGTCTGTCAAATATAAGAACAGTCGGTTCACTTCCTGATCAAGCCATTAAAGGCCATTAAAGATATAACACGTATGTGCGTGTATACATTTATATGTATGCATAGTATATATAACTCTCTCTCTCTCTCTTTCTCTCTCAGGTGACGCATATGCAATAGACCCTTTGCCAAAATGGCGACCTCAAATTCGAATGAGTTAAAATTAAACTGAGTGAAATACCAGCGCTTAAAAGAGCACCTTTACTTTAGTAACCCAACGAAGATTCATCATATGTCAGGTGTTATATATCGGCCGAGAAAACTTTAGTTGAAAATTGACAAATTTACAGGCGTTTGTACATGTCTGGCAGTATACGATATATCTATCGCCTATCGCCTTTGGCGATGACAACGTTTTTTAGAAAAAGGTATATATGTTTTTTGCATCCTTTCCTTGGCCATGATCTGTTTCACAGGTTTATTCCACCTTGTGCATATAGGCATTATGTTTAATCATTGTCTGTCGTGTGCTATGAACACCGTCAGTATCTGATCAAACCCCTCTTACTATTTCGTTATTTGATCTTGCCTATTATGTTTAGTCATATCACTAAAGATTGTGCCAGATACGGCTTCCTTATAGTTAGTTTGTCAAGTGGACATGATCTGCACGTGATGCACTTGAACCTGTGACTAGTGTTCCAGATAATAAGATATTTATAATTCGGTGTAACAACCCATCCAAGGTTAGGAGATGTTGGGGCATGCGGAGAAAGAGAGAACTGAAATTCTCTTCCACTATTCTTCCTTTCTCTTCTCTTCTCTTCTCTTCTCTTCTCTTCTCTTCTCTTCCTTTTTTATTTTTTATTCGCACTAGTCGTAAGCGAAGTCTGCTATTCTGTTTTCAATCTACGTCTCAATACTTCTCAATACATATAGTTTTTTATAACAGTAAAAAACTTTATTTAATGTAAAGCTAAATTTAAAAAAATACACGTTAAATACGTTATAATGTAAAAATGTTTCCTCTTTCCTGACTCTTGTAAAAATACTTTTAAATAGCTATGTTAAATATTACATTACTAACATTTCTGTAGTAAACTATGTAAATCATCAGATTTATTCCCCAATTCGAAATATGGCGACCAATTTGAAATATTGTTCTGCACTAACTAGTGACTGACTAGCCTCTCATACATGTGAAAAATGCTTTTGTGTTTTCACGTGCACACGAGGCTAGTCAGTCTCTAGTCGGTTCTGAACAAGAGTTATTCAAATTGGTCGCCATATTTCAATAATGTGTATATACTATAGTTTTTAGATTCCTGTATAGATATTTTTTTAAATATTATCACTACTATTGGAACTTAATTCGCCCTCTTCATAAAAGGCAACAGATATCGTGTGAATATCACAAACGAATTCTTCTCTACTGAGAATAGGGATATAGGACTGATATTTATCAGATAATTATTAATTACAAATAAATAAAAATCAATTTCACGTGGACTGTAACTAGGCAASGTGAATAATATCGACTCCTCTTAAATATTGCTATGTTGGTTTAGCTTTGTCATTTGGATAATATATATTCTATTAAGGATTTTTTAGACATTTTTACTAGACACTAGGGTTGTAGACATACGCCACGGGTATTCTCTTCTCCACTTGTATCCATCTTTCTTCGCCAGTTCTTTTATCACATCCTTTCGTTTGTAGAACTCTGATTATGTAATACACTGGTTTACAATAATGTCTGCATTTTGGGCAAACAGCTTTGACGTCGAACTTTGGAATCTGGGTAACTCCACTCGTTGATGTGTCTTCATGTACGACTTGCCATGGACAATACATTCCAACAACTTGATCACTGTCAGTATCAGCTTCATGTTTGACACGAAATGCATCCACAAAACGATACTTTTTTCGTAATCTTTTAAGTGCTTTCTCGGGGTTAATTTTCCTCTTATTACAAGGTGCTTGAAGTGTAAGAACGAATAGCCAAGTGATGAATAGAAGCGACAGAAGCTAAAAAGAAAACAAAATTGATGTTAATTAAAACGTGGATGAAACAAAAAAGTAGTAATGTCATGACTCCCACGAACAAAGAAACTCTTAAAATTAATGTTGTTAATCGGGATTCCTCGATTCCATAATTTATGGAATATTAATGATAGAATGCACGAATAGTCCTATTATCACTTCAGATCAATGCTTCCCAAATCGACCATGACATGTATTGTTTAATTCACTAAGGTTGTTTTTATAGTAGTACTGTTCACTTTATCTTAGGTGCTTACTTACTTATAATAAAGCAGGTTGAAAATATGGCAAGAAAACTATATAAATGACCATTCTAAATTTCTTTGGCAAATCGACCAGGATTTGACTTGTCGGAGATTTGCCGCTTGACTAACAAAAGCTGTTTTTTTCTTTCTTTCTTTCGCTTACGTTTTACATATAAAATGAAAGGAAAAACAAAGTCGTTAAAAAGACTTGTGTTGAGTAACTTTATATTGAAAAACGTATTTCAGAAATTCAGATTATCGAACGTAATATCTTTCTTGCAGTGTCAAAAAAAAAAAAAAATTCAAATTTAATTACTAGCAAGTACTTTCAACAAACAACTTATCTTAAGTAAATCTGTTTTGACTTCTGTCTCAAAAAAAGGTAAAACGAAAAAGCAACTGAAATTGAGTTGAAACAACTCGAAAATCATCTTTCACTATCGGGCTATGCTCGACGGAATCTTGATACCGAAATGACTCTGAAAAAATTCGTCAACAAAAGTTTTTGAAGCCTTACCTTTTCTATAAAATTCATATCAGTATCTTGTAGAAATCCGTGGGATACTTGAGTAGCAGAACGTACTGTAAGTGCTCAGTTGAGCTACTTATTTTAAATAATTTGGTTTTAGGTCTTCTTCGTTTCTTAGTCATATTTATACCATGCAAAAAAAGATATATTTATCATAAGGGAATTACCCCAAAAAATTGCGTGAAATCATTTCATATACTGATTCGAGGTTCCTTCATTAATGTCGTCAAACAGCCCATTTCCGTTTAGGCTTTCATTACCTAATTCATTACGTATGTAGTCACACAATCGCTATGTTCCGGTTTATGGCCCTAGTTTACTTTGCATAATTTTTAAAACTAAGCATTTCTTTGCTCTGAATCGTACTAAGTCAGGAAAGCCGAGAACTACGCGATCCTTCATCTGCAAAAATATGCCCAAAAATGTTGATAAAGTTACTCGAATTATCCATAAATTATGAGAAAATATTTTTGGTTTATTTTGAATAGATTCAGCTCAGTTTCAGCTCTAATAGCACTGCGCTATCAAAAGTTGATCAAAAAATTGGGAAGTTTTATTTGTGTGACGCTAAGTAAGACAAGGGAATTACCCTATCAAGCTTTTTTTAGAAGTTGATTGGTCTACAAGTTCTAGCACTACGGAGATCTTGAAAACAAACTACAAACAAGCATGTAACGACGCTTAGATTCTACGACCTTCTGAAACAATGTTTATTTTTTAGGCGACGATCACTTCATTTATCGTTGTAGTATATAAATTGTGCATACGAAAAAAAAAAATCTTGCTACAAGTGGTCACTCTTTACAGTTCTTACAAGCAGAAGCAAGCAGAGTTGAAAGAAAAGTCTTCTTTTCTCCGATATAATAATTTTACTAGAAATACACCTAAGGCAGTTTCTAAACCAAACTTTATTTTGTCAACTTTTAATCATAAATGAACAAACTTTTACCCCATTCACACCTAAACGTGTTTAGTTAAACTATGTTTTCATTAGGAAAAAAATTGAGAAACTAGAAACCTACAATATAATGTAACTTTCTAAAATATTGTCAGAGCAAGACAAAGGATAGTTTACATGCATTATTTCACCAAATATTGTGCAGTGTTCGTAGATAGTTTTCCAAACCTGTTTAGTTAAACCACTTTAAAACATGTTTAAGCCTTGGTGTGAATGGGGTATTTAATTCTGCATTTTTTTTAACTCGGAGAACTAGTTTTTACTCCATATAGCTACGTGAATCGGCTGAGTTTTGACGTTCTAGTTTATTTATCCCGTCTTATTTCTTTTCTGCTCTGTTGTTCCTGATCAGCTCGATATCCGATATGCAAATAAGCAAAAGTGTAGATTGACGTATGTTACCAATGAGTCATCGGACCATCTCGTTCTACTTCCTGGTTCGCCTATCTCTGTCACCATGACAGAGATAGGCGCATTATAACATCGCACCGCATTATAACATCTCTAACTATTCAATAGACTTGCAGATACTATTTGGCATTTAACTAGTGAAACGTCAAAACAGCAAAGCTCAAGCCAAACACATACCAGCTCATGAGGTCAAAAGCTGCAAGCTATACGCTACACCAAAGAGTTACTTCACCTAAAAATAAATTTAGAGAGTATTTATTTTCATTATTCGTTAAGTTAAAGTAAAACCTTTAAATGAAAATTTCGTATCCTTCCCTATATAAAGTAAATTTAAGTTAGAGGATTATCATTATTATAGTGATTTGTAATAATAATCTCAAATAATAACAAACACTGGTTTCATCTTACGTCGCCTGTCAATGGTTTGTTCCAAGTTTAAATTTCTAACTTTTAAATCAATCAACTCGGAACTCTTTGTTTAAAGAAGCTAAAGCCAAGCCGTCAAAATTCACTACACATTAAGAATTAAAGTTATTAGTATTATTATTATTTTTAGTAGCAAAAATATGAAAAATCCTACGATAACACTGATCGGAGATGCATTAGGTAATCAGAGATAAATATATATTCAGTTAGCATTTACTAAAATAACTATACACGATAAAGATGTTCAGTAAAAGAGGAAATCCTACTAGAACAATGAAACTTATGACTGACTGATTGCTAGCGTGACTTATGACTGAGTACTAGCGTGACTTATGACTGACTGATTACTAGCGTGACTTATGAGTCGAAACTGCTATGCTGAAAGACCTTTTCGTCATGGAACGAACAGTGAAAAACGTCATTGAATTCAAAGATGTGAATCATGTTTCTTCAAACTAATTTTTCCCTCTTTTTTTCTCTTTTTTTCTCTAATGTTAAAATTCCGAAGATCATGGGTTCGAATTCGCCTGAAGTCCGGAATKTTTTTCTAAAAAAATTGGCTTGAAGAAGCATAATTCAAATCTTTAATAACACTCCAGACAGCAAAAACACCTTAAGTCATTGGATATTGGATCAGTTCCTTTTCTTGACCAAAGAATTCGAAAGAAAACTCAAGGATAGTAGCTAACTCAAAGGAGGCACATTCAGGATAACTAGCGAGACCTGAAGAAACAAAACCATCATGATAGAAGTAATCAGAATACACTCCGTGTAATCTCTTAATATCGTATCGATTCCTTGTTTATATTTTTGTTTTGATGTTATCTATACTGATTTAGAAAATGGTCACTAATGCTAAACATATACACACCGTTTATATTCCCGTCTTAGATTTTTTTTTTTTTTTTTTCTCGACGTTTTGATATAGCTACCACCATTTTCAAGAGTATTTATTGGAAGTTCAAGTAATGCCAGACACCATCGAAACGTCGCCAAAAAACCTTGTCAAAATGATCTTTCGCGTTTTATTATTATTACTCAATAAATCCACCTCTTGCAGTTCTAATTCTATGTCTCTGATTAATAGTTAAAATTAATTCAGCTTTTACCAAATAACGAAAGAGGAACACAGAGTTTTTCCTTACTCTTTCAGTTATGCCGAAGGCTGTCTGCAATASGGGGACTTACCGCGTAGCTGGGCGTGGACCTAAATATGCTTAAAATAACATAATGGATAACTTGGCCGATTTTACGGACTGGAATTCCTGTTCCACGACTCCTTACAAGCGAGATGAGGGTAAGTTTTAAATAAATTAGTAATGTTGAAAATAAAGTTGACATTGCTTAGACGAGGTCAACTATACGAGCTGCATACTCGGGGGTTTACCGTCCTTTACTTTTGTAATTATCATATTATTTGCTAGAAACGGTAAGATCTCACCCTCCACTACCTTGACCGATTCAAGAAATATTTTCTCCTATTCTCTTCTTGATATTCTCCTGTCCTTGACAGAAAGATTTATCGTACTCGGAGCTTCCTCATAACGAAAATCGGAGGTTTGACYAATGAGTAGGGTCTGGGAACGAAAATGGTCAGGAAGGAGTGAAGATTGGGCACCTTATTTGTCGCGCGGGGACTGGGATTCCACTTGGTAGATAGTAGTCCAGAATAGTACTAATAAATATAGTGGAGTAAGAGCTCTTGTTAGTAAACTGTTACCAGGGAAAGCAATATCAAGTATTACCAATATAGAGGGATTAGATACAATAAAAATATGTGCATGATGCATGTGAAATTTAAACGTAAGTTCACAGACAGAAATTCAAAACAGAAGCTGAGGCGTCGTAAGGACTTTGAACCTGGCAGCCAATCTGCCCTTGGTGTCTGGGATCACGCTGGATATGAATGCTTTAGCCGAACCATCAGAGGAAGAGACCAGCCGGCCCCCCTACCAGTATATACCTACAGCTTATGCCTTGTACTATCTTCAATGAACATCGATTTGAAGTGTGGAAAATAGTCTATCTGGTGCGTTGTTTTTACAGCTGATTGTTGTGCTAATTCAGTTCAGTTCATTTGAACTGTTGCCCAGTTAAAATAGCAATACTGAAAAAATGATACTGAATCAAACCCGGTTGAACGAGGTTCTGCCATCTTAGGTTTTTATTTCTATTTTCTGTTTGATATAGGACTTTAGTGTTAAACCGATCTGATCTATTCTGTCCCTTCCCTTTTGAAAAATAATAAAAACGATAAAAATATCATCACTTTATTATTTACTTAGCTTCGTCACAATATTTATTCGTTTAAAAACATGGCATATATATACATTATATACAACTATATATTTTGATACTAAATGTATCAATGTTACAGGTGTATACTTGCATATTATTTATCTATAATCGATATTCATTAATAGATACTGCTCGTTAATCAGCAGATAAATAGAAGTACTATACTTCATTATGAGGTAACGTATTGTCGAGCTCTTTGAGCTAACAGTCACCGATCACTTAGTGAATCAAATCTAATCTACAATTTTAGGATTCAAATGGTTTTCAAAGCATCTTCGGTTAACGTTTTCCAGGCTCGATTACGTATTTTGAACGAGCTTTATAAGCTTTATATGTGATTGAATAACCTATTGATTGATTGATTGATTGATATTCAAGTGCTGCAGTATCACCTAGTTATCTGCCTCATTGAGCAACTCAACCTTGTGCAAAGTTGTTCCTTGTTATGATAGGCCCAAGTAGGCCACATTGATCATATCCTACGTGTGTCAGGGTCAGTTTCCTATATAAATGATGGATGTGACAGTACACCATGATAATGAGCACTACAGATTACACAATGTAACGCAGTAAATCATTCGTGACGTTTAATTGCGTGACGTCGCATGGTCACCAACCTGTGACTGTCGTGACGTATGTACCATGGTGTCTTGCTGTCTCACAAACACATCCAGCGTACTATGTATCAAACTTTTGTTTAAAAAAATTAGATTATAAATATTGAACATTATGGCCACTAAATATAGTAATATAAATATGTTAATATTTACTTATAAAAAGCTATGTCGTGTATCGTAGACTTGATGTTGGGTTCCATCAAGGGTCGAAGACGAAGGAGTTGGGTAACGAAACAGTAGATGTTTTCCAGACATCTACCTTTTGTCGGACAGACCTCAGACGTTTACAGTCCTTCACGAGTACGTGGTGTTCCCAGAAACTCGCCTTACAGAAATGAGAACAGTTGCTACAGGTTAATTCTGCTCTAGGGATGAATCTAGGAATCCTAGACGCGTTATCGTCTAACGTGTACTTCCAAGAACACTTGCCATTATGGACGACATTTTCACTAATGCTTCTCGTTAGTCTTCGTGTTCTGGCAATCCCTTCACCATGACTTCGGTCTACCACGAGCCAGTTTGCACTAGTGAACTTGTCCATTAGTTGCCGTGGTCTAAGATGGATTATACCACAGTTGGGAGTTGGTGCGGCTGTTATCATCGCCATTATTAATGCTGTTACTATGAGTCCAATACACATCTGTGAATATTAACAATCAGATATTGGTCAGCTAGTTAAGTAGTAAAGACCAGTGAAAAAAGACTATTAGTGTCTTTAATAACGTCAATGTATTTATTATTATTATTATTATTATTATTACTATTATTATTATTATTATATACGATTACAATTTCTTTTATATCATTATAACTATAGCTTATTATTTACAAAATTGAAGCATTGATCATGCAGATGTTTAATTATTTAATTGAAAATTATTAATATATATTACTATTAATTCTTGTCTTATCCCGTTATAAACAGTTATCATTCGAATTGACAGATAAAACCATGCGAGTAAGCGTTAAATATTTCATTAAAATAATTGATTGAGGTCACTCGTCAAATTGTACACGCTCTGTTTCACAAAACATTCCTTACATAAATAAACAAAAAAATGACATAATATATTGATATGAACGTTTAATCTTACACTTTAATCATTAAATATCTCGGAATTTTTAAATTGAATGAAATAAAATAATTTTCCTTGATCGGTCCTTTTAACYCTATAAAGTCGAAACAGCCGCGTGTCGGTTATTATTAAGTCAGGTGTTTTAAACTTCCACCGTATGCTTGTCTGCCTGTACCCGCAGGCACAGATGATCGAGAGAGAGTCCGTACCTTGGTTAATCTCAATAACGAATTGAAAAGTTTTTCCAACATGGGCTAAGAACTATATCGAAGTTTTAAAATACTTTTTTAAGTTCGAAAATTCATTTGCTAAGTTTTAAGCCTAGTAACTTACCATCGAAGCCAGCTGCATTGTGGTTTCCCTCTTTTAAAAATATTTCTTCTTTAACCTTGTTTGCTRTTAGCTTCGTAGGTTATCAAACTTTGAATTTCTTTCTGTCTAATTTATCCTGGGTTTATATAGATAAAACTCAGTCGTTAAGTAATTCTTACAGAAATATCCTAAAATTCCCTTATCGTTAGAGTGACGTCTTTGTTACAGCAACTAATTTACATACAGGTCAACATTCAAAAATTTTCTTCAAAGACAATACAATTCTTGAAGTAGAACGAGGAAATTTAGGGGAAAACCAAAAAACAATTTTAGATGAATACAGTAACAACTTCCTTTCCTTCTCAGTCTTGCATTAAAGACAGGATTGGTTTTAACTTGCATTCAAATTGTTAGTTRGTAATCTTTGGTATCTAATGCAGGTTTGCATTCAGTTACAACGCTAGCTTTGTCAAAAACTTTCCTAAACTTCGTAAATGAATTTGAATTCCATTACAATTTTGGAAGACAATGGCTTCTTAGTTGATGCAACTTGGACCACTTATWTCTGTAGCACCATAATTACGCAATGTGAATAGCAACTATATACAATATTATTGTCATTTTTACGTTAAGAAATAATGAAAACGAAATTTATGAACAAACTCAAAGTGTCATCACAAGCTGGACTGGTTAGCAATTCGAAATYATTGTCGTGTTTGCACTTTTCTATGCATACTTTTCTAACTTAAACTATTGAATATTCCGGGAGGATATTTTGTACGAATGAAATTTTTCATTTTTTACATAATAGTAGAAAGAGAAAAGAAACCAAAGAAGGAAACTGGAAAAAACGTAACACACCTTCTTCATTGAATGTTATTTTTTAACCCACCAAACTGAACGAAGAGTGGAAAAAAATGATGAAAGAAGATAATAAGAAATTTCAAAATCAATGGTTTTTTAAAACTGTTCCAAAAAAAAAAAAAAAAAAAAAAAACAGTAAGAGATCTACATAATATATTTTGGAAAAAATATCATCAACATTTTTTTAGCGTGCCATTCGGTTACATGCTTTCTTGTAGCCTTGAGTCTTTACTTGGTTCGGCATTCAGGCATAACTTGTCTGCATAATTGACAGCACGTGTACGTAGACTCAAGACGATTAACGCCATCCAAAGGAAGACATTTTCATTGACGTTATTTATACGAGTCAAGAATGAGAAAACTGACAAATTCTATTGATACTAGTCTTTTGTTTGGAGTATATGTAATTTTGAGTTGAAACTAGACAAAAACTATTAATGGTTTAAGTCTTTATAATCCGGTCAATTCAAGCAATTACTTAAAGGTATTTCAAATATATCCTTAATAAAAAATAAGAAAATACCCMAAAAAACTGATAGATTTTTAAAAAATCATCTTCAATAGCAACATGAAATAACAAAACCATTGGATTTYGTAAGTGTTAAAAATATAAATTAGCTCATTGAAGTCTCTAACAATTCAGGATCGATCGCGATTCACTTAGTGTAACGTCTTCCTTCCTGTGTGAGGTTCCGGGTCGGTCTCTGTGTTAACACAATGGCTTTTCCCTGACTTGTGACGTCAAACCGACCCATTCAAATCGTCCTCTTTTTCCTAAATTTTTCCTTATTTTTTTGCCAAAATATTTTATTGTATTTTCAAGACAGCTAAGTAATTCTGGTTGTAGTTTACTGTCTAATTATCTACTTCTRTTTCCAGTGATGAACGACATATAAAAGATAACCATAAATTTAAGATAAGATTTTTTTCAAGTGTTTATATAATTACTTCGTAATTAAGACTTTTTGTTTTTCTCATCTTGCACAATCTTAATGGAAGCGTGAACTCATTTACCTCATTGTCTTCGGTCAATAAAATTATTACAAGATATTAAGCTTATTGAGCTTTTTTTATGTCTAAAACTACGTGTTATATAACTCTAATCCTAGTATCGCATTCTTTATTGTTCTATGGATTGACTTTTCCCTGCAATGTGTTCCAGACATCATTAAAACTTCGTTTTCATYGTCTCTTTAGTTGATTCGGTTTTTCCTTTAAATTTAAAATTCAAATGCAAATGTAATCGTGATTATGTTTTTTAAATTTATGACAAACTTTCTTTCTTTAAGGCCACAGTTTGAATTTAAAAAATTGATATTAACTAAGTTCAGCCATCATTTTAACTTCAATATTTTAATGATTCTGACGTCAATACGTTATTAATTTTTGATTTCTAAAGACCTCAAGTAAGAAAACATTACAAAAAATTCTTAAGTTTTACAAGTATTTGACTCAGTCAATTACTAAATAATAATGATAACGATTATTTTAAATGTTATATTGAATTGATTCAAACTTGAGTTACACAGATTTTCTAAATTTTGTTTGTCAACTGAAAAAATAAACAAATTGGACTTCCTTGTCAGACAACAGCCACTTGAATATCAAGTGTTTACTTCATATACAGCTATTGTCATCACTTTATTTGTGCTAAGGACTACTACATCAGAACTTTGGCTCTGTGTAGACTATATAGTCCCTGCTGATCAACTTATAGTTGGAAATAGCGGAATGACACTGATACTGAAGGTTGCTATTCCCTGCCAACAGAGTCAAATTACCTTTGGTAGGGAGAGAAAGAGGACAGCAAAAATATTTAGAGACTATGATCATTGATGATGATTACTAGCATTCTTGGCCTTTCAAAACAAATGACTTTATTTTTACATATTTTTCATTGAAATAATTTATTTACAAAGTATGCTAACAATTCAAATTACTGAAATACCTCAAAGTTTTATTCTTCAGAATATGTTTTCTGATTAGGTGTTGAATCACTCTGATTTTTTTTTTTTTACTCTGATACTTTTGAGTTGCAATAATTTCTTTATTTTGTCAACTAACTTGAATCTGGTAAACCTTAACGAAGAAGGTAATACAGAAAACAAAGATGTGGTAGTTTTTGTCATCTTTTGTTACCTACTCAAAAATCAGTAAGGAAAGAATAGTTCTGGGCTTCTATCAGCACGATTTCACATTTTATAGTTTGTATATTTATCATTATTTTTATACAGCAAAAACAGGGATGGGCTTTACTCACTCRGCAGCCAAGTGGACTGGACAATAGATTTTCTCACTTGTAGCCTCGCATTCAAGTGCTTTAGAATAAATATATTTGGTTTAAACAAAGGTTTTAATTCTCATGAGCATAAACATGGCTGCAGCATGAGTAAGGCCCTTGGCAGAGCACTTTTTAAGCCCCCCATCCCCCCATCCCCTGGCTCTGCCACTCCTGAAAAACATTTCATCTCTTCATAGCAATGGTTTGAGAAATCACTAAAAGTAAGAAATGCATTTGTTTTCTCGTTTTTCTCAAATTTCCCAACTTTTATCATGTCCACATTTTGTGCACAATATTGTGTGCAATGAATTTCACTGTGAACATGTTATTGGTAATAACAAGGAAACTACAAAGTTGAGCTCTTCTTCCTTGATGCCTGTGTACAAGGAAATTCATAGTGAACACCTTGCTAGTAATGGCAGGAGTTTATTACAAGTCAACATTTGTGCCGTAGTATACTATTGACTAGAATATCTGGTTTTTTTGGCTGATTTTTCTGAAGTATTATATAGTTTTGTCATAAGGAAAGAAGCTAACAGTGACATCCATTGAAACATTTTTGCCACTAGTGCTAAATGCAACACTTGTGTCTTGTTCTAGACTTTAGGAGTTACCTAGCGCTTAAACTTAGAGGGATCTGTCAAAGATGAAGTTGCCAGGTAGAAGATGACAGGAGTAGTGACAAGAAAAAACATGGGGCCATGTACCACTGGTTTGCTAACTTGTGTTAGCGCAAGTAAACCATAGGCAAGGAGAAGCCAATGACCAATCATGATTGCAACAAGGCGCTTGCTTCCAAGCAGCTGACGGAACCCCTAGGAGACAAATACAATGTGAGAAGGTTAGATTATCCATATTTATTACTACTGTTTTCATTGCTTTGCACTGATCGAGACAACAGTCACTAAACTGAAATCAGGCAATACACTTCCTAGATGACACTTAGATCACCTAGATCACACGTGGAAARTGTGTTCTAAATGCATTTGTTCTTACCGTAATGTGGTTCTTAGCCAAGACAGTGGCAGTGCTAAGGACTGATGATACTAGAATGATATATGGATAGGTATAATCTGTTGGAAGAGAATAGTATACCATGCATGAATATAACATTAAATAGCTATCATAAATCTTGCTTTATTGGTTAAGATGTTCATTGTGGGAGAAAAAGTACACACACGTTTTCTATGATTCCTAAAGAGACCTTGAAACCTTCAAATTTAGGTTAGGTTTTGATGGAGGGAGGAAAACCAGAGAATCCAGAGGAAAACCTTTGAATTGAGGGAGAGAACTCTGCTCACATGATGTTGTGTCTAAGAATTGAACCCTAAAGTTGAGAGGCAAGTGCACTACCACTACACCACCCTTGATTCCCACATGAGCTTGACAACCCTCACATCCTCACTTTCAGTTTGTCACCTTGAACTGTGCCACTCTTGTAATTGCTTTGGCCACGAGCAAGGGCGGATCGAGCCAAAACTTTAGGGGGGGCTAATTGAGTTTCTTCCATCAACACAACGGAAAACAATAAAAAAAAGCATCTAATTCTTCAGTTGTTTTTTTTTTCCTGCTGAAGGRGGGACTTCAGCCCCCCTTTGCCCCCCTCCCCCCCTGGATCCGCCCTTGATAAGTCCCAACATAGTTGGTTGTGAAGGAGTCCAGTAAAAACTGAGGAGCAGTTCTACTTACACAACAATCCACCAAGTATTGCATGTATTGCGGTCAAAATAGGAAGGAAGTACATGCCAGCATAAATAGAAGATAAGCCCTGGCCTGCACAAATGTAGTGTGACATCAGAGGTCGTATTACTAACAGCATAGCAACACATATGGCGTAGAATGTTAGAACAATAGTGTACCTGTTAGAAATAAGAATGATAATAATTTACTCACTGAACTGTTATGATAGATCTATTCATTATTCAGTGTGACTGTAAGGTTCAAATGAGCTGTTTTAGTAGTACTGTACTTCACTTATCAAGTGGCAAGGATTTTTGGCGTAATAGGTATAATGGACATTTTCAAATTCACTTTTCTGAGTGACCGTCAAACAATTATGGGTCAAAGTCAAAGTTGCACTTGGTCACCCAAGCAAATTCATGAAAGGTCTATTGACCTTAAAGATGCCAGTATATGACTTACAAGGGATAGACTGCCTCATTAGTGCAGTGTATAGTGTTGACGTAGTCTGGCTTGGGATTGTAGAACACTGTATACCAGTCAGAAAGATGTTCTGAAGAACAGGAAGTGAGGCTTAAGGTTCCTGAAAGTCAATAAAACTGATGGTATTAATGTTGATGATTTGATGACATCTAATAATAATGACCACAGGAATCCCATGAATAGTTTATAATTTGTTGTTAAATGATTCAGTGTATATTTATTTATAAATTGTACCAACCTTTTGGTTCATTCAAAAGAAGGGTGAAAAAAGCAGCACATGTTGTTTCTATGGCTCCACAGGCAAAGAGAATAATTATTCTGAATGAAAAAGGTATACAGTGCTGTAAGTTGTTATAAATACATCATCATTCTCATATATTTGGAATAGCACATTGATATTGCGTTTTTTTTTTTACATGGGAATCAAGCTGTTGTGTAGTAGTTGTGTACTTCCCTCTCAACTCTGGGGGCCCAAGGTTTCATTCCTGCCCTCRGCATCATATGTGAGTAGAATTTGTTAGGTTTTTTTTCTTGATTCAAGGGTTTTTCTTCATGTTCTGTGGTTTTCCTCACCCACAAAAACTAACACACTCAATTCCATTTCAGTCTGTAAGTTAGTTATGCCCTGACATTGACCAGGCTCCCAGAGGTTGTTACAGGGTTCAATCTCTAACTTCGCCATGACATGACTTTGATTACCCAGAGACTGGTTCAGGGTTCGATCTGTAAGAAAGCTATGCCCTGGCTTAGGTCAGCTAGCCCAGAGGTTGTTTTAGGGTTCAATCTGTGACTTAGCCATGACCTGACTTTGATAATCCCAGAGGCTGTTTCAGGCTGTTTAAATCATTAGCTGTGCCCTGACTTAGGTCAGCACAGAGGTCGCTTTGGGTTCTATGAAATTTGATAGTTCCTATAAAAACATTATAGTGATTTCTTGACTTACGCCTGTTGGGATCTTTTAGAAAAGTAATCCACAAAAAACCAGTGTAGTACAAGAGCAGTAAGAAAGGTAAAACCCAAGTACGACCAATCATACATCTGAAGGGTATTTGTACATTTGTTACAGAATGTACCATTACTTCTGCTTCCTCTTGGACAGGCCTGAAACGAAAAAATATATCTATAGGTGGTGTCTTAAGTGAGATCAAAGTTCCTAGTGATTTGTATACTTACACCACATTCTGAAATCTTTCCGCTCGCTTCGTCGATCGTTCTTCCACAGTATCGACCTGGGCATGACTCGGTCTCTCCTAACAAACGTATTAGAAAACTATTTAGTACAATAATGAAAATAATAGATTGAAAATATGCAATGAAAGCTACAGAAACAAGTATAAGAATTTTGTTGTAAAACAATAAAAGGCCTTTAACCACCAACCTGAAGAAGTGCTCTGTAACAAGATTATGGCTGATGCCAACAACAACAACGAACTTTTTCCGTCCATTAAAGCCTATTTACAAATACAATTCACTCTAAAACTTGACAAATATAATTTTTAGTCATCTTGTTGACTAAACATTGACTTTAATATTCCAATCTAGGGATCCATTTAGACAAATTCAGACCAGGAACTCAAGACATTTCAAAATAGATACGACTTTAAAGTCGCCATCTTGGATTTGGAAAAAAGCAGATAAGAGACTGGATCCAATTAACTCCGTACAATCGATTAATGATCGTCATTTTACGAATCGTTTCCGATGTTTGAAAGTACTCACATCGTAAAAAGGTTTTCCTGTTTCTTTGTGCTTAAAAATTGCTGTACTGCAATATGAAAAAAAATCTGCTTCGCGAAACAACAACACCATCTGCGCGCGGAAAAACGAAAAGCGCACGCAYGCGCAGACAAAATTCCCAGCTTGTATGACTTCATCAAAATCTACACCAAACGTCGTAGGCGTGTCGTGGGCGGGAAACTTTGACTTCAGATCACTCTAACTGAAATTAATCGCCTAGAAAGTTCGGTTTTAAATTTCCCGCAAATGACGCGGAAGGATTATTCTTCCTGTTTGTGATAATTCACTCTGGCAAAGTGTGAACATAAGCAAGAGAAGTTCCTCCGACGTTTTAGCTTGGTAAAAATCTTGGTAAAAATTTGTGAAAAGGAGCTAATTTTAAATAATAAAAACGTTTCCTTTCTGTTTTCCATAAATTAGAGGTTGGGCAAAATAAACACCTGTGAAGGAATCATGTTTTTTTACCTCCTGTGACGAAAGAATTGCAAAATATTTAACACGCAAGAGGTTTTCAATACACGCACCGTATGGTGGCCTCGCCCACTACGTAATTAATGTCAATAACAACTTTGACATGTTAAACTCAAAAGATTTRAACAGAAAAAAAGATTGAAAGGCATCGATCGTAAGACAATGATAAACCAACCAATGGGAATGGTTTTCAGTTTGAAAACAATAAAAAAAATTAGAAAGTTGACGTGACAACACAAGCTTTCCAAGCAAATATTTTTCACCTGCTAGTTTRGTAGTATTACTCTACTCAAGCTGGCAGTGTGTGGAGCGCGCACGCCACTATACCATGTTGACGTCAGCGCATTATATCACTCAGGTAGAACTGTTATATGTTTATATAGCATTACTATGGTTTAGTTATGTTGATTTGCTTAAATTAAAATTAACAAATCGCATTTTTCTTTAGTTCTTTTAACCTTTGATCCTTATACAAGAGAGGAAATCACCCCCGAAACTGTGGCACATCCAACCGCAAAGAAACCTACTGAGGAGTGGTGAGTAAATCTCACTACTTTTGGATACTTTTAAGGTAGAGAATGAAATAATGTGTAGCGTGAAATTATTCTAACCAACCGATGAATCAGCCCCTAGACTTTAAGTAACTAGTCATGAAAAACTTGCTAGTTAACCGCTACCTTCCTTTGAACCTGTGTAAAGTGTCAACCGATTTCTCTGTCAGTGACTATCTTGATAATTAGTCCGGTTCCTTCATTATCGAAAGTGGTATAGTACAATATGAGATCTATTGTCAATCTATTGTAAGTCACTCGAGTGTGTATCAATCGTAGCACTGTTGAGAACGTCAGTATACTCGTTGATCGGGCCTGACTTTGATAAGCCATGTATTTCTAGTGTATATTGGCCTACTGTGGTTATTTGATTGTAGTTATACGTGCGTATAGACGGTGTACACTCCATTCTGGTGTTAATATGACCGACTTTAACATTTAACGATGTTCGAGGCTTGTTATCCACCCTGATTACATAGTCTGGGAGGGGCAATGAAGGAATGGGGGGAGGGGGGAGGAGGGGGTTCGCTCAGGAAGTCGTTTTCAAATACAGTCACTACCCGAGTCATGAGACTTGAGTTAGCGGTGGCGCACACGAATTCTGCTCCTCGTCGTGGTAAACCACCCACAGAGAAGAACAAAACTGACACCAGCAAAATGATAAATAACTTTTTTTTCCTATTCTGGTTTTACGATCCACGCATCCATGACGTTGACGTTGGTAAAAAAACTATTCCAAACATTTGCCAAATATTATGAACCTGATTGTGACTCAGTAAAAAGCTCCTAACTTGCTCCTTACTCCTAACTAAAATGCGACTATTTTAGATAGACAACAGCTCAACTGCCTCCACCGTGACTCTATTTAAGGGAGTTGGGATTATATCTGTGGCAGAACTAATCTGTAGTCAAGACAAGTAACCATTCATACACTTCCCTCATCCCTGTTATTTTCAATTGCTTGTGACAAGGGACAAGAAGACATGCTGTGTAATCACTGAGTGGATTGTCAATACTCTTTCTAATCAATACAATCATTTTGTTTGTKTGTTTTCTTGGCTCCTTCGTGTCCATTCCTTGAAGGCATTTCAAATTATTGTTTSTATTTCTGTAAAAAAATACACAAAATATATGTAAGTTGTGTCTACTGTGATATAATAGATGAAATGGATCAAGAAGGCTTTGAATATCTTTCAGTTTGTGCRAGACAATAAGAGAATTAATGATGCAACTCAGGGTTGGACCAAATAGCTCTCTGACTGTCGATGGAAGCTGATAAAATCAACAGTGATATATCACGGTAAAGAGTTAAACGAGTGTCCTACTCGAGATAACTTGACCTAAATGGCTGTGCGAAAGAGATATACACCTGCGTAAGACAAAGGTCGTTGACAACTAGCTCTCTGATGTGTCTATCTATTTACCCCAGATAGTTCATATTACACAAGATAGATCTAAAATAAAGCGTAGGTTGGACTAAAATCTTAATAAGCACTAGACCAAACCAAAAGGGTTGTTTTCTAGGTGAAAAAATAATCCATTTATCAATATTTAGTTAATATACAATTATTGAAGTGACACAAAAATCGCAATCCAAAAATACCTAGGATATTTTCTAGAACTAACTGCTACCACTGAATAGCTATTGAAATTTAGATATGCTTAACTTATGAAGTAAGACATAGCCTGACAGAGAAATATTTAACAAGGAATGTGACATTATTAACTTAGATTTAGGAACTCTAAAGCGTTCCATAAATGATTGGCTGAAAATATCCTTCTAAAGACCTCCTTGTCGCGACCGATCACTCTTTATAAAAATCATTTCATGGTGTTTGACCACRGCGTGACTATTCTAAGCCAAGTGACCCTTTATCCAGTAAGTTCAAGGTTGTTATACTGCTCACACCAAGTGATGTACATTTAACGAGTAATAAAATGAACGCAAAGTTTATATATATTTTAGATCATTAGGACCCAAAAAAGACCTTACGGCATATCCATAGTTTTGCGTCACAAAGGCGAATGGTGGGTTGTGAGGTAATAGTCCATATGCTTCTAAACGTGATGATCTACCCATTGATCCAATGGTATAAAAGTTTTTTGATCTTATTGTAACGACGTTTTGATCACTTATGACAAAGCCGACATACCATTCAAGTGTTTCGATGCATGATGGTTAATTGCCTATAAATTACAATACAGTAGAATAGCTGACCAACATACCAAAACACAGACAAGCCATACGCAGAATCGGTGCCGGTAAGGCTAACTTGTTAACGGATTGTACACAGCCTTTCTAAGTCACTCAAAATGTTTATTCAAGGTAAAGTATAATCTTTGTCGATATTCAATTCTAGATCTTAGAGTTAAAAATGCCAAAGCGCAGCCATTTGACTGCACAAATATAATAGTAAAAGAACTCAATACATTTTTTAAATCATTATTATCGAGATCAACCCTAAGCACTTGTTCTACTTTCAGTCTTTATGAGCATTTTGACAATGTGAGATACTTCAGGTTTAGAGTCGTTTTCCCAAAGTAATTGAGAAAAGACGAGATGGCGACTTTGCTCCTTGAATATCAGGCACATTTACGCCAGCTGACTCTGAACTTCTCATGCGTTCAGCATTGTCTTCAAATATAATAACATCGAAAATATTCCTTGCAGACTCTCTGATTGCATTCATCTTATAACTTACAAGTGCATGTGAGGCTCAGAAATCAACTTGCCTTCGATTTTTTAAATTTTACATGTTGAAATCTCGTGCTAAACTGAAGCATGTTGCTGATAATATTGACGTTATGATTATACTATTTGTGTATAATGTTTTCAACAACTATCTCTCAGTGGTGGTCGAACAAATAGCTCATTATTATTGTTTGTTGTTTCGCTTGCGCTGCYAAGTCGACTTAAATTATGAAAGCAGGGTAGTTAGGAGGTTGAACAGCTAATGGACAGTAAATGATTTAACTGAAAGTAGATTGAGCAATTAGTAAACTTCTAGAAAGTATGCCTTTGCTTGGCGAAAATCGGTTGAACATGCCGCATATTTGGTATCCATTTTGAAGACTTCTAAAGTACATCTTCAGTTTTTTGTGTGTAATGTTTAATTAAAAGATTTTCGCACTCTTGGGTGAGAGAGATATCTTTGGAGCATGTGTGAATAGCACCTTAGATTGCACTGCAGCTGTCGCATACATCACCGAGTCACACTTCACTGAAGAACACAGCTAAATAACGAGGAACAAGATTAAGATAAACCAATAAAATGCCATCAAGTATGTAATTAAAAAATAGAATTCTTATCTGCCTGAAGATTATAAATGATTCCAGCTGAGATTTTTTTTTAAACAAAAAGAAATGAATTTTTTTTGTTGAAAGGATTTGAACCTGTTTTGGTTTCTTCTGTGATGACTGAACTGCACATAGCCGTGAATAAGACAGTAATAAAACCCTAGGATTTATCGACAAGTTAAATGACTTTTTAGACTTTTTTGTTTTGGCTAGGTTTGTGGATATCTCCCAGATACGGTTTTGTTTCCCAGATCCAAAAGAATATCTGAGTACAGCAATCTACTCGCTGTAGGGTGCTTTTCCATATACCTTAATCAACTTAAAAAACCCAAAGTTCGAATTAAAGGCTTACACTCTAAATTCCTGATTTCTAAGTTAATAAAAATTCTTTTTTCGTGGTTGAAAATTTGATCTTCAAAGATTTTCCCTGCTGATAAATAATTTGGTGTAGGGCTTAAGAGTGTCAAGAGTCAAAAGGGGTCATTATTCCAGAGTTACATAGACGACTTCATCGAGCGGACGGATGTATTATATAATATGGATAATAACTTTCCCCCACGCGTTATTACTGTGATAAAAAAGCCAAGACTGCACAGATTAAAAAATTCTTCAGTTAACAACATTTACACATTATCGTCCAATCTCAGACAAGGACTAATTTTGATGCCGAGAAAAATATCTGTTGAGGTTATTGATGTAGTTTACAAAAACCGAAGATAAACAGTACTTATCAATATGTAGATAAATGCAGATATATAGTTGATGAAAACCTCAGCCTTATTGGGTGAGGTTTTGGTCAAGATGACCGCAAGTATATGACCTATGCGGCTTTTTGCTCAAAACAATTCTCTCTCTAATTTATACGAACTGTCCATTTTTGTGGCATGTGAAAATGACCTCTGGTGTTTCTAGTACTGCACGGAATTAACTCTCGTATCGTACTGTGACGAGATGATGAGTCATGCCTCGCTGTATTTAGTATAACTGTAAGAGAGTGTGGAAGGATTTCGTTCTCAATCTTGTGACAATGTGTGGTTGTGTTCTTGTCATCTCGATCAGTGTTTTTGGTAATTTGATTGAAACTAACGTTTCTTTTTGCTGCGTAGAGCAAATGCGCACTTATCAACTCATCGTTAATGATAAAAAGGTAATTATACACCGTGAAAAGATGAAAAAACTTACTGACGTTTCGGACGCTAGTCCTTCATCGGAGTAAAAGCTCCGACGAAGGACTAGCGTCCGAAACGTCAGTAAGTTTTTTCATCTTTTCACGGTGTATAATTTACCTTTTTATCATTACTGTTTCATTAGAAACACCGACGCAGCTCACACTAGTTTTTAGCTAGTTATCTCTAACTCATCGTTAACTTACGTCCATAAAATATTTTGAGATTGTGATGAATGAAAACGGAACAAAACTGAAAGGAACATTAACAACAGATTAAAATGTACCTCAACTTCGTTCGTTTTTGGAGCGAATAGTTTCTTGTTAATATATATACAATAATATACATGTATGGTGTGTTTCATATATGCACGACTCTAACTCTCGTAACACTTTTTGACATAGAAGGATGTTTTCGTTACTTTAGCAAAATATTTTCCTACATTTTTACCATGTTTGTATTCTTTCTTCCACATTCAAACTCTTCATTTTATGACTGAGGTTTTCTTTACTATCTTTTAGTGTCTTACACATACCATGCTAAATACGTGTAGGGGTTCACAAAAGACTTTCGGTGGGGTAAGGCGGTACGGCGTTTCCTTCTGAGATTTTCTTGAAGGATTTTTTTAAGATCTCAGATTGGTTGTTTTCTGTCACGGTTAAAAAAATTCCAGCTTTTATAGTAAAGCAGAGATGGTTAAGTTATTGATATGCCAACAAGGCAATTCACTGAACTTGTCTCTTTAGTATTTAAGGTCGTGGCGGGTTTATCTCGTAAATGTCCGTGTTAGTGTGCACAGATCTAGAAAACATCTCCTGGTCCGATTTGAATACATTAAATAACATATCGCTGCTCTAAATGCAATCATTCTGTCAATCCTGGAATTCTTTAATTATATCTATGTTTACAAGACCACATACAGCAACATCTCAGTTAAAAACTGAAAAGTGGACAGCACTTGAACTAGTCAGTAAAGATCGACTACTGCTAAGAACTCTTAATCAAGATTGCTTTTAGGTGTTTACTATACTAATGGTGTGAATTTGAAAAGTAACTGGGCTCACATTTGATTATATTTTAACTCGAGGTGAGACATTTGAACAGGAAAACTTAATGTCATATTTTCTGTTAACATTGTAAAGTTGTCTTACTGCGTATCGTACATAAGGCCGTGAGAAAGTTCAACAGTTGAGATTTAATTGATGTTAAAGAAGATTATCGCTAATTGGCTATCAAATGAAATGACCTGATAACGACCTCTTGAACGCTATTCATTCTTCAGCTTACTAGTGATGGTTCAATTGGAAATCAAGCACAAATAATAATGATAGATAATGAGGGGGGGGAGTCCTGTCTGGTAATTCCAACAAAATAATGTAAAATGCAATGAAAATACTTGAATCGTTGGCTTATAGGTGATATTACGTAGTATCTGGAGGTTGTTGTGTAGTGAAAAAGACTTGATTAGAAGAATAGCCCGAGAAAAAAATGAATGAATGAAAAATGGGAAGAATTTATGAACAAGTGAACGTTCAAAGAAAGACAAAATTCAGGCAGCCGATTTGGCAAACAAAAACACATTAATGAACCACTTTATTTAACGTGTCATGATAAATGAATAATGAAAAAGCAAACACAGCATAAGTACATATTGGAAGGCAAGACAGACAGACAGACGCACTCAGTGAAATCGTCGAAGTTCCACACTACCCTAGTGTAGAGTTTGTCATATTGGTGTACCAAACAATAGAAACTTTCAATTTCTGCAAAGTTTTTGCATAAAAATAGAATTCAATTCCGGGAGGATAAAAAATGTACTGTTTTGGTACACCAAAATGGCCGATGTGACGTCAAGCGAAAACGCTCTATAGAAACAGCGGGAGGTTGACAGGTTTGACGTCACATAATAACACGTAAAACACAAAAACAACAGAAAAAGGAAAAAAATTCCTGTTTGTGTTGCGTTCATATACCGTAGTCCAAAAGAGAAAACCAGTCGAGATTTTACCACGACAAGTCAAAACCGGACGTTAACACTGCATGCCATCAGTCGATTCTTCACTAAAGCCAGTAGTGTGTTGAACTGCATACGCTATCATTCACACTAGGTAAGATAATTAGTGGTCTAGCTGAAACCTGGTTTGCTGTATATATACGTATGTCAACCTTTGGCGGGATTTTCCTTTGAAAGTGTTCCAAAATCCAATAATCTTTTCTTAGTACGACTGAAAGGAAGCTTAARCGATCGACTTTTCTCTTTCGATTTTTCTCGTGTTTATCCCAGCAAAAAGACTCGTGCGAAACTTCATGACCATCTGATCTTATATCTATATCTTGACAAGTATAACATTTCTACTTTAGGCGTGATAATTAGCGTGATAATTGTTACAGGAAGTGATAAGGTGTAACRAGTTCAGTGTTGATGTCCAGTAGAAACCTATGACAAACGCAAGTAAAATACATAGCTTCTGCTTGCTTCTGTAGCAGAAAAAGTTCATATTACAGATGAATAACTTATCCACACCACAAGTATTTTATCTTATTTTATAGTTCAAGATGCTTAAGCCACAAGTCCATATTTTCGATTGTCTTCTCAATTTTTTCCTTTTTTTTTTTTTTTTTTACAAATTCACAGTTCAGTCACCACATAGTACGCATTCATTTATAAGTACTGAGATTATTGAGAAGATTGAATGAATTCGAACATGTACGTATACAGCTACATTATAGTTCACWACCCAAAGAAATTACAAGCAAAATTGAACATTTCTTGCTTAATTTGTCTTACAAAAATTTAACATTTACAACAATAATTAAGAAAAGTCTTAATGGCTCTTCAACGTTTAGCCAATCCAAGCTTTCTAGCAATCTACTAAAAGTCCTATGTAAAAAATTCAGCTGAGCTGTTATGCAGGTCAGAGCACGAAATTCTTGCAAAGCGGAAAAACTAGTCCAAAGAGTATATAAAACCACTTGAAGTATTGGACTTCCCTTGGGGAGGGGAGACAGTAGATGAGTTATTAGAAGGTTCTAGAGAATTGATTTTTTACTGTAAACGAAGAAAACAGCTTTCGATGCTCTAGGGTGAGCCGCGCACTAGTTGGCTCGGCAAGCACGCGACATTGCGGAGTTCTACTTCGTGGTCGGAAAGCTTTTGTTTCTAGTTCAAGATACGTTGAACTGTAATTCTTGAATTTGGTTTTGATCAGCGCGAGTTTTTACAGGTATGTTGGGGTTTTGTACGACTCTTAGAATCGGGATTCAGGCGATCTATCGTGATGTTCCGGGTCTTAGCGGCTGCGCTTGGCACAACAAAACGTACAAATTCAATTCAATTATCTTATTCAGAACGTACAATTTGAAAATAAGGATGAATGACTAAGGTGTTGTTAAGAATGGCTTAGATTGACGAGGGTCAAACTGTACATGAAGGGGATATGCAATCAAGGGACTCCTTTTCTTTCTCAAAAAATATCAATAACTTCAAGTGTCTTCGAGCTTCTAGATAAGTCTCGTGATATGATCAGAATATATATATGCATTTAAGTAAGGGTTAATTTCTGGATAAATTCGTGATGTTGGCATAGATGTTTACAGCCGTCCATCAATATCCCGCATCTTAGCGCATTTTGCTTTGTTTCTGCCTAATAATTTAAGCTATTTAAGCTCCTTGTTTAAATGGATGAAAATAAAATCACGTTATATATGCTCGCTGCTAAGAAATTTTCCCAGTGTCCGTCTATGATCGTAAATTATTTCTTATTCTTTTACAAGAATCAAAATTTTTCACGACTTAAACGCCTCGATTCGTCTTGTCAAAACAGCCGTAAGACAAAATCCTTCATCTTTAGTCATGTTGTGTTTAGTTCTGATCAACCAATATCGATTGTTGGCTGAATCATGATTTATAGGTCTGTTCAATGTCTAGCAGCTGAAAAATGCAAATATGACACCGCCCCGTCCCCCTCAGTAAATCATTACTTTCGCGACATCCACTATCTAACTGGTAAACTAAAGATATTTGGGAATTATTATCGTCTTTAGGTACCAGAGGTGGAGTGAGGGTTTCGTTGTACAGCGACGCTATGGAAGAAGAAGATAATTTCGAGGACAATGATATTGCGCTGGCATTCTCTGGCGGTGGAATTCGATCGGCGGCCATGTGCTCAGGTGTWCTTCGCAGACTCCTCCAGAAAAATATTAAAATCAACTACGTCAGTTGTATTTCAGGAGGAAATTTCACCGCAGCAGCTTACTTGGACTGGAAGTTTCGCCACGGGAACGAAGATGATCCAAAATGGCACCAGGAATTCTTCGACCACATGAGAAAAAGAGTGGGTTATATTTGCCAATGGAGGAGCTTGTGCAGGGGAATAGTGGATACAATCTTGCTTCTTTTGTTAATGGCTGTGGTGAATTTGTTTATTCCTTCGATAGTTTGGGGTGGAATGGCGATTCCTGTAGCCTATGTTGTGGACTTTGTCTTTGGTGACATCATGCGTGCAGGATTTGACTGTTCGAACAAGACCATACCACAAACAAAAATTTTCACTGCTCGAAACATCACAAAATGTGGTAACATATATAACTTAAATGATCCTGGGACAAAAAACCAAGTCATCTTGTTTTCAACTCTAGCTGTAATCTTTCTCGCACTCTACGTAATCAAAAAAGCCATCAAGAGTGCAACAAGAGTCTGTAGTTTTCTTCAACTCGTTGCTGGAGTTATACTTGGATTGCTTTTCATACCGTGGTTCATGCAGCAGTTCACAGATATCATCCCATTATGGATGAATGTTTTAATTCTTGGTCTGAGTATGTTCTTCTGGTGCGGTTTTCCCCCACTGAGAGATTACGCTGCTCTAGCAATCGTCTTCTATCTATATGGGTATATCATCAAGTGGAGAGTCTATCGTTCTGGCTTTACGTTTGAGTACCAGGAATACTACTTTTATACCGCACTACTTGCTGCTAGTGTTGTGTTATGGGCAAGCCCTTACTTGGGAGTCTTGAACCGTAGTGGAGCTTATAACTTCRTCAAGTAAGTTGTTATGCAACAGAATTTTAGCAATGATTTGTTTATATACATGAATATGCTTTTTGTATATGATTCTGCAAGTCTAGCATGTTTACTTTAATAACCAAGACTGTTTTGATTTGGAGATCTACTTGTAGTTTCCTGTTCTACAAACCTCTTTCAAATTAACCTAAACATTCAAGCCACCAAAGTTGAACTTGTCTAGATACGTGATGTAAAAAGAATTTCTGATTGGATTACCTGGTTATATAAGRACGAGTAATTTAACTATTTCTGTGCATTCAATCTTGTACTTAGTTGTGAACAAGGCTAAGGTCGTAGTTCGGGTTGTACTGGGAGGTACAGACCTAAGTAAGGACAGTGGCCGAGTAAGGAACCCCGACTGACAGCCACACCGACTAAGGAAAGTCCTTCTGGTCAACCTGACTCTGCTCTAGTTTGTGTAGTTAGATCTGACACTTAACTTGTATAAACGTCTAACACGAGGTTCAATAAAACGAGTGGCTCGACAGACTAGAKATCCCTTGCGTTCCGTAGTCTAACRAAGTAAAGTAAAGTCGTTTTTCTTCTCTAAAATTGCACTTCATGTTCTATGTTTTTGGTGAAAGTCCAACCGATTAGTCGCCCAATCTAAACTGAGGCTAGTGCTAATCAAATAAATTCAAAACTTCACGGCCCAGCTACACTGCTCAGATGCAAATGGCCATCGTCTTGATCAGTCTTTCAATCCCCATTAAGTTTTCTTAGAAAATTAAAATGGATGTAGATCATTTAAAGCGGATTGCAATGCCTATAACCATAAAATGCATGTACAGTTTATGAGGACGTCCCAATATTATTGTAACCTTTATCTCATTCTTATTCTTGGTAACAGATGGAGACTTCAATATGCATTTTTCACGCCTCAAAGTGTCGGTCGCTGTGGTTGTGGTGGAATCACGTGTTCTGATCTGTTCCCAGTGCTTTCAACCCTTTGCGAGTGCTCAGACTGCAACAAAAACCATCGTAGTCGAGCTCTGACATTAGCAGACATCATTGATACCAAACCTGAGTACATTAGTAACATCGTGGCTGACTATTGGCGACGTGACCCTAAATCAGTACCTGAAGCAATGATAGGCTTGTGTAGTAAGAAGATCGAGATCATCACTGAACAACCTGGACTCGATAAGTTGACTTGTAAGTTGAAGCCTCGGCATATAAAGCTTGCTGATGCCATGAGCACTGCAGCAATGGTCACTAAACCGCCTACAGAACTCGATGACAAGTATGAACCGTTCAGAGAACTTCAGTTGATCCTTGGGCTGTCAGCTACTAAAAATATGAACRCAACTCCAGATGATGACTTTGGATGTAACTGTGAATGGTTTAAGGTTGGTGGAACAAATACCATGATTACATCATTAAACACGCAAAATAAAAAATGACAGACTGAATCCTATCCGAATACTGCAACATTTCACGGTCACGTAAAGGTCCTGTTACACTGTAYAATTTTCTCAGCAATTTGTTTTCGTTGCTTGAAAATGTAGCGTTGCCGAGGTAAGTTGTTACACTGCAACTCAATCTCAGCAAYTTCCAACATTTTTTGGCTCCTCGGAAAGAAATGAGGAATGTGCGCATGCATTCTTGAAAAAAAAAAATGCCTTAAAATTGTGAGAAAAGTTGTTAGAGGTGTGATGCACTGTGCAATAGCRTTGCCAGTTGCTGCAATCCGTTGCGAACTGAGTAGAACTTAGTTCTACTTCATGCAACGCTACGCGCAATAACAAAAATTGCTGGTAAAATTGCACAATGTAACAGTGACTTAATGAATATGGTCGTTGCCAGAAGACCATTCCCATGAACTTAGTCATATCTTTATATATAACCCCAAGCATGACCAAGTCTGGATTCTTTTTCAGATCGTGCCTATTCTCCTCCAGAGTTTTGCAGGCGCACCCCTTATCTTTCTAGCAGTGGTATGGCTGGCTGATCTGGGTTTTGAGCCAAGTTTCATCGAACAGCTCGTCATGATCGTATTTCTTTGCTACATATTTATTTTTGCCTTTGTTGCTATGTTACCAACTGGAGGAAAGAAACCTTGGTGTGCGGAGTCAATTGTCAGGTAATCTTTCGCTGTTTTAGTTCCTTCATTTCTTTGCAAAAACTATAGAAAAATCTTTTAGCGTTTGCTCCAACAAAGGTCACAATGCTACAGTTTTTTGTGCTGATGACACTCTCATTTTCAACTCAAAATCTCTCTTTAGCAGTCGAACATCRCGCGCCCTATTAACTTCACGCCACGCTTACACTGTTCTTAGCTATCAGTATTTGTTTTTCAGATGGTGTCACGTTCATCTCTATCACGTACGCTTTCTCAGAGAGATCCTTAAAGTCAGCAACATCGGACCACTCCCTCCGGCCATTTTGTCGCTGAGTGACCTGGGTCGAGTGGAGAAGTATGGGCTGTTACCTCTGTTCAAGCGACGAATGAAGAAGATCGTCATCGTTGATGGGAGTTTCTTGAAGTCAAATGCAGAGTATACTAAGTATCTTTTACGCTCGCTTCAAATGGCGCGAGAGATGTTTCACTGCGAGTTCACTGGCTATGGTGGTCGTGACATCATTGCCGAGCTTCACAAGACTTACTTGGCTCATCCGTCGGGCAAGCTCCCGAGGAGTTATCGATTCATCGTAAAATACTTTGAAAAAACGAACGACGGTTATGTTGAAGCAAGCCAAGGAAAAGTCCTCATACTCTCTCCCAGACACCCAGACGAAGGTTTTGACTTCCCATTSGGCAAAGATTCTACATGGGGGGAATACACACGTGACACAAATATCAAACTCGACCCGAARGACTGGGGAACAGGGCCCGTACTCACCAGTGCAGAGACAGATCGCTTAACGTTCTGCTGTTGTGAGTGTTGCCATTGCAACGTTGGGGTGTGTCGCTTAATTTCATCGAAATTATGTTATACCTTCCCCCGTCATTCGACTGTCAACCAGTTTTTTACTCCAAGTCATTTTAGTGCTTATCACAGGGAAGGTTATCGGGCTTGTATTGAGGCAGACGTGGAAGATTTCTTGGCTGACAACGGTCTTCAAAACATTTAAATTTAATAATAATTCTAAATTTTAATTGCATGCAATAAGCAACGCTTTTACTTGACCGTAGTTTTCAAGGCATCATTTAGAATCGTTTTTTAAATCGTCCTTATTTTATTTGAGGGTATTCATTTCAACCGGTTAATCTTTCCTACACGAGCGGAGGGTAGAAGAAAACCTGATCGTCTTTCAGTTTCACTTAAGTAACGAGCACTTGCTTGCTTTTGGAATTTGAATTTTTTATGGAATTTTAGTCGTGCGCCAACATACAAACTACGTCTTAGACACTAAAACCTTCATAGCTCCAACAATAAACCTTCATGCGTACGTAATTTATACGTAAAAGGAACGTCACCCAATAATAAGTCTAAACTCAAGGGCTGCGATGGTTGTTATTATTACGCATGCTAAACCAACGCGAGGGTCTCAATGTGTTCCCCGGAKCCTGAGTTCCTTCTGGTCAGAAATGACGTACAAGATTGCAAGGGTTTTCGGGATATCCTAATGGAAGTTTCAAAGCATGCGCGGTTGAGGTCACATAACAATCAAAAGATTCAAACATTCCTGGTATATGGCAGGATCATTCGCATTATTCTTAACTGAGAAACTAAACATTTGAGGACATCAAGTAACATAATTATAGGTGGTCAAAAACAGTGAATTATGTGCAAATCTTGGTAAATTAAGTGGGTGGAAAAAAATACAACATAGCGAAGTCCTAAACTAGCTGCTTACACATGACAGTAGAGACTATGGGTCAAACACGAAAATAATGAATGAATAAATGCAATAAATCAAGACATTCTTRAAACACTACTGGTCTTTGTCTGTCATTTTTTATTTTGCGTGTTTAATGATGTCTTATAAAAGTACCACTTGGAAGGACTCAGCACAAAAAGCCTGAGTTTCTTMTGGCCTGCGGCATTATTATTTGAAATTTAAGTTGATGTGGAAAATTCGTACAAGTCAGGGAATGATGTGACTATATGATGATCAAAACGCATCCCACATGAAAAGCAGTGAGTATGCATTCACTGGTCATCGGCGTCACAATGAATAACTTTGAGTATGCTAATCATAGCAAGGGGTTAATCATCTACGGTCTAGGGGCCGACTAACCTCTCCCGGCTTAGGCTTTGTCCGAGCTTCCTGATCAGTCTGTAAATCTTCGGATAGCGGTGTCGGGGCCGAAATCTCCGGCGTAGCCGTAAATGCTTCGCGCTGCCATACGACGGTTCAGCACTCACTCAATGTCTGGAAGTATGGTCCTGGTTTAATAAATGAAAAACTAAAAATCCTAAACTAGCAGTCATCTTTAATCCATCTTTAATCCAATAATGAATGAGCGATAGTTAAAATGCTACAATTCAGCCTGGAAAAAGGGTAAAAAAGATCTTAAATGAGTCAGCACCCCTGCTTAACGGCGTAAAAAACGCAAGGGATGAGAGGGCAGCGAGCGTTATGCTGTTTTAYAGTCTTAATGGTAAAACTTGGAAGGACTCGAGGGAGAAAATTGAAGAAAGAATAAAAGGAAAAAAATACACTACACTATCTGAATCGCGCTGAGGATGCCGGGTAATACCGACGTGTCAACGCATGCGCATTAGCTGTTAGTAAGCCAAGCAGTTTTTTAGGCAAAATTCATGTTGAGATTTCGTTCTTTGCTGCACAATTATCCTTAAATCCGGCTAAAAAAGAAAAGTTCTCAACCTATTTACTCGAAGTAATGTTAGTAATTGTCAAACTACTTTAAAATGCTGCCTGAGCCAGCAAACTCGTCGCATTCAGCGTCGCAAAACACTTTTGTTCGCAGAATGTCGACGTCGAAAAAATGGAAATATCTTCGACGAATCCTGATGTAYAGACACATGGATTTTGAATTTGCCTTATGGCAGATGCTATACTTGTGTGTTGCTCCACAGAAAGTGTAAGTGTGGTGTTTGTTATTGTATTTTTGCTTGGGATAATGGCAGACAGTCGTTTTGTTTACAACGTCGACGAATCCCATCAAGACAACACATTCTCGACTGTTTCACGATTTGCAGCTCAAATAGTCGATTATATTCGTACATGGCGGAATTTGTGCAAATTATTTTTGAAAATTTTATTATTTATGATTCAACAAGACCCTGTGGGCAGGGTAGACTGGGATACCTGGAAGGGAGGAGTGGAGGGGCTGGTTTCAGTCTCCGGCCCCCTTAACGTGTTATCCCTGTAATTCTAAAAGAGTTGCAGGCTCTGCGATTATTTTCACTACTAAACAATGTTGTGTTATGCTTGTTGCACTATTTGTCAAATTGCCCAAACTTGCCCGCTGTCATGAAACTGTATTCGACTGAAGAAATAAATGTATTCTACTCAGAGTAACGAAGGCATTTTTACGACAGGGATACCACAGATATCTCAGTAATTAACTATGTAAATGTCTCGCTATAAAAGGAAGTATTTTGAATGCAGCAAACTAAACTTGTATAAACAATAGCCTTTTTTAAAACAACATGATGTACCCTCATCAGCAGAGCTGTAATATCAATATCGTGTCTAAATAAATATTATTATTTATTATTATTATTATTTATTATTATTATTATTTATTATTATTATTATTTATTATTATTATTATTTATTATTGTTATTATTATTGTTCTTCCTTAATATTGCAGGTACAGAAACTTTCATTACCATAAACGTAAGTTGTTATTAAGGTTATTGAGAGTACAATAGGTTATTYAGCTCAATCTAGAGGTTGCTATCAATAGACGTCACTTCCGGTAATAGCTCTTTTTTCAATAGTTTGAGGACTTATTTTGATATGTTTTGACTTAGCATCCGCTAGTTGCCCCCCAGTCAACCGCTTGTTTGCCCCCCAGTCAACCGCTTGCTTGCCCCCCAGTCAACCGCTTGTTTGCCCCCCAGTCAACTGCTTTCTTGCCCCCCAGGCAACCGCTTGCTTGCCCCCCAGTCAACTCCAAAAAGTCACGTGATTGGTAGTAAGCAATTCATTTTGTTGAATTCCCCAGATAATCAAAGATTACAGAGATGTGCTTTAGTTAATCATAGTCTTTTATTTTCTACCTCTTTTAACAGAAACAAAAGACCAGTGGGCRAGAGATGACCCAGCTTTTCTTGTATTACTTAGCTTTTGGTTATGTAGTAAGTCCTCTCGCAAAGTTTTATTTGTATATATGTCTGTTGTTTATAAATAAATTGGTTAAGTATTCATCTGTATCATTTTTCTTTTCTTTTCAGTATCTTCAGTTGGCTTTGCCATAGTGTTAAAGCTTCATTTTTTAGGATTTATCAAGTTTCTTTTATGGGTTGTATTTGTGGATTGTATTGGTGTAGGATTAGCTATAGCAACATTGTTATGGTGAGTGTTTACTATGTGTAATATGACAATGATAGTGATGATGCTRGTAATGGTGTTGATGTTAACTTGATGATGATCGTGGTAATGGTGTTGTTGGTGATGCAGATGATGATGATAGTAATAGTGATAGTGCTGTGGTTGATGGTGATGGTAGTGATAGTAATAATGTTAAGATAATTAGAGTGATTGTGATAGTGATAATGGTGTTTATCATATTACAGTTATCAATTACAAATTGCAATTATCTGTTATTTTCATGCTATGCTTAGCAAGAAGTGCATTTGAGAAGCCATTTTTTTTTTCTCTAATAACTCTGCCTAGATATAGCTTGGTTTTCTCCRGCAACACAAGCCGAAGCAAACATAACCACAAGAAAAACAAAATCTAGGGTTCTCTTGCACTTAGTTTACCTTTGCRCTTGCGTTTGCCCTTGGAGTTGTACCAGTTTGCATCAGCTGTGTTGCCAGTTAGTACCAGGGATGTTTCTGTTACTAGTGACTTAAATTTGATTTCCACATTTCATTTCTAGGTTCATCTGTAATCGTTACCTTAGACCGCCTTCGTCATATGGAACCCAGCAGAGAGTAGAATGGGCGTATGCCTTTGATGTCCACCTCAATGCATTCTTTCCCCTGCTGATCATCCTACATGTGGTCCAGCTGTTCTGTATGCAGTGTAAATAGCATCTCTATAACCTTAATCCTTTGTTGTCAAACCCATAAAACCTTCTCTTCCCCCAACAAGATTTACATGCGATTGCAAAAATGTAGCACACTCGTAGSTGCACTAATGTTCAATATTACCGCACTTGTCTAATAAGAGTATATGATTGGTTAAGTGCTTGCTACAAATCATAACCCTACATTTTTTCATTCATTTGTTTAAGAAAATTATAAAAGGTTTAGGCCGAAAAAATAATAATGTTGATGAAGAGACGGTTTCCCCTTCGTTATCTATTGAATTTCTTCCATTAATGTATTACCTATTTATTGATGAGAAGGGRTTATAGGTTATAGATTGAATGTTAATTTGATTTGAATATCTGTTCTTTTTTTATTGTTAGTCATTCAACTAACAGTACTAACATTTGTTGGCTAAYTATTAGTGTCTAAARTAATTYTATAATATAATCTTAATTTMTAATTGTTGTTTTCATYCTAACAACACCTGGAKTACCRCCSTTTGCATTACTACRCGGCCACCCSAGACACAAATCACRTCRTGTAGTTTGCAATASACTRCCGTCAATCAAACACCTCATTCTACTTRGATGTACTCAAACTCTTTGCAATCGCTTTYGGAACTTTCCTTCSTGATATCTGACTGAGAAAGTTTGAWAGAAAAGCCAACTCACTGATCCAAACGTGTATAAATGGCGYCAACATGAATGATTGAYAGAAGTCTATTGCAAACTACACTACTCTATTTGTGTCTGRGGTGGYCGCGTAGTAATGCAAACGGYGGTAAAYATGATYTAATTYCTTCAGTGATCATRTTTATGGTTTKTTGTTTCAGTCATCATAGACCRTCCATTGTTTATTTCAAGATTTATTGGAAACTCGTTGTGGTTAATAGCGCTGGTGTATTATATCTATATAACATTCTTGGGATATAGTGGTGAGTTACATATCAATACATGTATTCCCTCTGACTTTCTTGTTGGAATCAAGGGTGGCATAAGGGCAATACACTCGTCACTCACCTCTGTGTCTAGTCTTGGGTTCAATTCCTGGACTCGGCTTTCATGCATGTGAACAGAGTTTGTTACGTGTAGGTCTCTCCATTTACAGTATTTGAGCCCAGAGATTGTTCCAGGGTGTCGGTAAAGTCTTGTATCAGCAAACATACTGGCATCACTGCTAGTATGAAAATTATTTGTGGTAGAGCAGTTTTCATATGACTGTGAAAAGCTCACAGCATGAACACAGTCATGGCATATGCCATGGACCACTCACATTACCCGAGAATTTACTATTTATCCAATCAAATACCTGGAACATGGAATAAACATGGTATGGGCACGGTTATGCCAAGATCAGAGCACCATTAAACCAATCACATTGTGCGAGAAAAGAATCGGCCACAGCATGGCATGCTTACGGCAGTGAGCTTTTAACAGTTATACGCAAACTGCTCTAAGCTAAAAGAAAGAAAGAACTTTTCCTTTCATTACTTTGTGCATTCTGTGTCAGATGTACCATAAAAAAGCTCTTCTATTTCCTCAACAGCCCTGCCATTCTTAAAAAACACTGTGGCCTTACTATATCCACCAGTTATTATAGTAGTMATCTTTTACATCTTCTCTATGGCTGTKGGCTGGAATTTTGGACRGAGTGTCATGTATTTCTATAAGTACAGAGTACTATGATTATGAACCAAGGGGAGGTAATTGGATACTCAAGACTGTGCAAGGACGTGATTGGAAATCACCTTTGCAGGCCAAGAAGGAGGTGATGGTCACAAAGGGATGTGCTCCAGTGGTCAAGAACAATATAAGTTTAGYTGAGAATGTCCATTAAGCTTGTTTAACATGCAAGTATTGCTACTATTGAAGGCAAGAAATGAACTTGAGTATAAAAATGCGCAATRATAAGAACTGCAATGCACACACTCACAAAAAGGAAAAGAAAGAAAAAGTGGAGCAAGAAAATAAAGAGTAAAGATTCTATAGAAAAAAGACCAATGACCATCAATGCTTCAACACTTGATGAGAAAATGAAATCTTACTAACTATCTGGAACATATTTSTATCATGACCTTTCAATTTTGAAACTTCATTTGGGATGTGAGGTTTTGTGTTTCCCAGATCAGGTGAGGGKGCAGGTGTTAGGTAATGATGAATATGTGGTGAGTCTTAGTAAATACACATGTATTGTGTAAGCCCTTTGCTGACACTTAACTGGCAAAATGTTCCCAAAATATTTCAATTGAAGTTTGAAAAAAGGTCATGTTAGAAATATCAATGCAGTTACTTTATATTGTGAAATCAAACTGTTCAGTAAAAAAAATATCTAGAGAAGATTTGAAAAAAGTCAAAAAAAGTCTTGGGAACTAGATCTAAAAATAATCTAAGAGCACATGCTGCATAATTTGTATATATTGGCCTTTCTTTGGATAAATCACCCGTTAAATATAATTACCCTGGTGTTATTTTACTGGTCACAAATGATTATCAGTCTGTTCAACAGGTTAAAAATGTAAACCTTACAAAAGCCATACTTTCGTTGGTAAGGTTAACTATGTAGTTAAACAAGAAATATYGTTATTAAGACAAGAAATTAAAAGTATGGAAGTCAAATAAATAGTAAATAAGAATATATTCTTTTGATTCTTGAGGAATGTGATTTGCTCCGTGTGTGCAAGTACTCGCCATTTTTCTAACCCCTGAGCCATGGGCTACAAATAGCCTTTGCTTTTTCTCACTGTATGATAACCATTATTAATAAATACTAGTTATTACAAGGGTAATTACAAGTCAATGCAAGGGTATACAAGTGTCAATGATTGCAAAGTTCATYCTATAAAATCATTTTTTTATTACCCAAAATAGTAATTTTTTTCAATATTTATAAATTTTGATGATAATAACCAGTTGTTTTTTTTTTTTACATTTCTTTATACTGAATTTTATTCCATTGCTTTCAATGCTTCAACCATTCCTGGTAATGATGCCAAAACAGTGTTGGCTTTAGAATCTATTATCTTCACTGCAGCTTTGCATATCTGAAATACAAAATAGTTTTGTGGCCATTCAAAGTAATGCTCTGTTCTATTCACCACAACTTCATTTAGCAAGTCAACTACATCTAAATTATGACCCATCCTTACCTCCTTTTCTAGTTGCTTTCTTAAGTCCTTGGCAATCTCATTTGAAAATAAATTGTACAACCAACTGCAGATTAATAAATGAATAAGATTAATATTGAGATAAAAGCTAGAAATGTCATAAGGTCCAAGGGGTGTGCTGTGGTGCATTRGACGCCCCTAAAGCCATAATCCCTTTTTTGAAGCAATGAATTATAATATCTCTATTATACAGTGGCGGATCCAGGAGAGGGGTGCAGGGGGTGTGCACCCCTCCCTGGTTTGACTTTGTGCCCTTACTTCAAAGATAACCAATACAAAATTAATGTTTTTTCCCTTTGATTCTAAGGGGTGCACCCCTCCCTGGGTTAACTTTGTGCGCAGCACCCCTCCTTGAACAAATTCCTGGATCTGCCCCTGTCATAAATTTTTTTTATTTCGGACACCCTAGCAAATGCACATATAAATGAATATTAGGGTTATCAAAAGCATGTAAGCAAGCAAGGATATGCTTGGTAATATTGTGTAAGGGTGTATTGGATATATGAATGAAAAAATGTCCCAACCTTGCTCCTCCTTGGAATGTTATTCCAAGTGATCCAATCCTTAAATTGCAGTCATCAACTCGTACATTATGTTGTCCCTTGGACACATCTGTGGATTTGATCATTAGTTACATCTCAACTTGTGTAATATAAATAAGTAAATAATTTTATTTTCACTTGCAGATAATCAATCTTTAATAAAATCAAAATAAGTAAAATGAACAAATGAAAAAAAGAGATGACAATATGAATGAATAGCCCATGTATTAAGTGAGTTGCTRATAAAACAAAGTGAGGTATTTATGAACAGTTAGTGATTTAGAAAATGTCATAATATAGATAAGAAACAGTCTAAATGCTGAGAATTGCATTCTGGGATAGGTTGAGTAATGAGCCATGAAGGCAAATATGAGCATTTATATGTTTAGGTGTACAACTTTCTTAAATTTCTTGACATGTAATTGTGGTAAAATGTGATAACTCACCTAAAACAAGAAATGATAGCCCTAGAGTCAGATCACCAATTGATAGATGACATGATCCTGAATCAGATATGTGTGGCCTGGAAGCAGTTGATTTGTTTTAATTATTTAATTTGAAACAACTGAAGGCATTTATATATGCAGGGACTGAGGAGCATGATTTTGATGGGGGGAAAGGGGGGGGCTAACAAATGCCAGAAACCCATGAAAATGAAGAAGTTGCTCTCTTCTTACCAACTGTCTTCTTTGTAATTCCAATCTGCACCTATCTTGAAAGATGCCTGATCAGCCCTCATGCGTACACTGTGGCCAGATTGCAGTGATATATTGGCTTTTTTGATGATGACATCAGAGAGTGTGATGCTTAAACCAAAACCAAAATTAATAAAAAACAAGTAATGGAGACATGCATGAGCATCATTACTATCTGGTGGTCACAAGGACTGCGAAGCACCCTAAGAAGTTGTGGGGGGGTGGGGGGGACTAAGATTGGAAATCAGGAATGCTAAGAGTAGAGAATGTAAGAGACAGACATTTAAATTAACTTATGAACAGTCAATAACAAAATTGACTGCACCAATAATGAACTTAACTTACTTGTGCAAGTTGTAGTTGACTTTACCAAGTGGTGTCTTCACATCACCGGTAACCTTGGGAACTTGAAGATCATTCAGTTGTTTGACCACAAATGGTAAGGCAACATGTTCTGCTGTTATTTGCAGTAACATTTCAGTTAATATTGCTTTTGTGATCTACATTCTGTCTGTTTATTGGTGCAACAAACTTTTTTTGTGGATTAAGCCATACTTTTTTTGCAATCCTCTTGTAAAATAAARCCTTTTGGTTGAGTTATCATTAAAGATTCATCCAAACTGACAAATTGCAGTGGACATAGCACAGGGATATGTTTTCATAGTCAGAGATAAATGTTCAGAAATACAAACCGAGTACTATATATAGTGAGAGTTGAAGGAGAGTAAAAACCTCCGAGCCACACAGAATCATAGTATACCGTATTTGGTTTTGAATTAAATTTTGACTGATGAATTTTAATTATAATGAGAAATATAATAGAAATTCTGTTCTGTTTTTAGCTGGAGCATCGGAGGAAATCCTGTCCCAGATTTAGTTTATTATTTTTATTTACCTTTTTTGGATTTACCAGTAAATCTCTGCGTGTGTTTAACAAGAAAATTAAAAGAATTGCTTGATAACACTGAAAAAACATTCGATTTGTTTTCAAATTTATTTTCAACTAATAGTTATATGAATCACAGAACCAAACTAAAGCTAAATGAAATCGCTTCAAATGGTTATTTACTCCCTACTYACCATAATTAGAAGCTTGTTCGGATATTTCGCTTCTCCACTCAGGAGATAAGTCGACTGGTTTACCGTAGGACGAAGGAATAAGAAGAACAATCAAAACACAAAATGAGAGCAAACTAAGAACAGAAAAATCCAAGCATTTCCATCGGTTTTTAGTCGCCATTTTACCCAACAGATGAAATATTCATCTTCGATTTTGACACATATATGTCAACGTGCTTTTAGTAATTCATTATTTATTTATTTGACAGATATTTTTGACCAAATACTAAAACAATCCACGGGTACAAGCAAAAGCTAAACATTTTTCTGGAAGAAATTTTAATTTGGTTTATTTATTTATGCGGTCAGCGGTTAAGGCTACAATCTCCCCGGAAACATCCCGAAGTTGTTCCGACAAGCTTAACGAACCTTAACCCGGAAGCGGGTTCCAAAAAAATCGGTTCCAAGGAGACGACAACATGGCGGATCAGGTAAGTCGTCTYTTGTACTATAACTCTGTCATTTGATATTTCATAAATTTAAGGGATTAGCTTWAAAAATGTTTAAAACTAATGAATGGCAATGATAAATAAAAGCTTTTTGTTTCACTATTGCAGGCTGAATCTGAGGAACAGTGTATAAAGGATCTTAGAGAGAAATTTTTCAACGAGCACGGTAAAAAAACACTAGTACATTTATGGGATAGGCAGAGCTTTAAAAAAATCACTTGAATTGAATCCTATTTTGTCTGGGCTTGATTTGAGTTTTATGAGGTTTGAAAAAAATTGCTAGACAATGCTTGCAGCGACTATTATTTTTACTACGGGGTTTTATAACAAGTTATCAATTATTACTAGAAATATTATTTATGTATGCAATTCCAGTGTATTCTGATCTGACGCATGGTTTACAAAGTCTAATCAATATTGTTTAACTTCACTTATTTGCTTATTAAAGCTGAAAGGCTTAGTTTAGGATTATACAGATTGAATTGGCTGTCAAAAGATTTGGGGGGGCTGTTGCAACATTGCATTATCCTTGCAATATTCTACTTATAGTTAAATAATTTATATTCAATATCAAGGCTTGGGGTTGTATTTTTATAGACAAATATTTGTGGTCAAGTACATTGATAGCAAATCTTTGAAAGTAATAATTAGTTACACGCTAGCTATATTCTGGGATGTTATAAGTCATGGGTTTATTGGGCAGAAATTTTTGAAGTGAGAGGTTAGAAAAAGCAACAAATCAAGCAGTATTAAAGAGGCCAAACTAGAGTGGTTTTCATAAACCTGCGAAATAAAATTTTAGCATATTTAACTAACTATTACATTTTAATTAGCACACTCTGTTTCATAAGTTAATGGTAACCTCTCTGAATGGCAATTAAATTAAACACTGAAAGCAACCTCTGGTGTAAACTAACTCAGGATAAGGCAGACTCACAGCTCAAATTGGAATTGAGTGTGTTGAGTTTTGCCAAGGGGGAGAAGGTGAAGTACCAGTATTATAAAACCCTCAAACTCTGGTCACATGTTATGCCGAGTGTGTAATAGACATGCACATGTGATTTCTCCACAGCTGAAAACTTCACTGAATTTGATGACCATGACCTGTCAAGACTTCGGCATGATGACTTTTGGTTAAGATGCTTTGTAAGAGCTAGAAACCATGATATCAACAAAGCAATAGAAGCTCTGGTAATGTAATCAGAAATATGATAAATATTGCTTAATATTTATTATTATTGTACTTATTTATCAGATGTCTTTAAAACTACATCATAACATCTTTCATGTCTATGTTGTTAATCTGTTTACAGATTATATGTCTTAGATGGAGAAAAACGTYTTGTTTAAATGGTAAGTCCAATAATCCTGGTGCATTATCCATGTTTTGGAGTAGCAAGCTGCTTTTTAAAAGTAAACATACATAGTTATGTTGTTTTGTAATTTGTTTTATTTACTGTTGCAGAGTTAACAGAAAGACAAATTGACAGAAGATTGTTTGAAATTGGATTTCTTTATCCTCATAATAGAGATAAAGAAGGAAACTCAATAAGTAAGTTTTCTATATCAGGGATGTAGGGGGGGGGGGGGTACTCCCATATATAGACTATACGGGGGTGATCCGCTAAACAGGGTATGGTTTTCTGAGCTTCTTGTCATGAACAGGGTATGCAATTTCACTCAAGTCCCAAGTTCATCCTGAGTTTCCTGTCATATTCAGGGTTTCTACTTTCGTATTGACTGAAACTGGTTATTATGGTCGTCAAAAAAAAAAACAATACGCGAGCTGACATGATAATTGAAACAGGAACTATTAATTATATCTTTTGTCATAAACAGGGTCTACAAATTTGAGTTTTTTTTGTCATAAACAGGGTACCCCTTTCAGAATCCCAGCAGAACACCCCTTTCAGAATCCCAGCAGAACACCCCTTTCAGAATCCCAGAGGAACACCCCTACCCAATTTCTGGTGGAGTACCCCCCTGGGACCAGGGATGGTGCAGCAAATTTTAAAGTGGGGTGAGCTAGAATCTTTTTTTAAACTAAAACATAAAAAGATTTTATCCCTGTAAAGAGGAGGGGGGTGGGAGGGGAGGGGTTTTCCACTATACTGTACCTGCATAGATATTGTCCAGAGGGGTAATCTTGCCCGTTTAGGGTAGGGATGTGCCATTGAGCCCTCTGAACCCTGACCCTGTTCCAGAGTAAAATCGCTGAAATTCATACCCTGTTCCAGAGCAAGGTCCCTGAAAACCACACCCTGTTTTGGTATTGCRAARATAGATACCATGTTCCAGAGAGGAGAGAGCGTGATTTCATATACCCTGTCTCAGAGYGAGAGTGATTTTATATACCCTGTTCCAGAGTATAATCGCTGAAAACCATACCCTGTTTGGCRGCACATACCSGTATAGCGAATATAAGAGAGTACCCCCCACCCCRGAGATATTGTACCATCCTGAGTTACGTATTGTCATCAATATTTGTTTATGTAGTCAGTACTACATTATCAAGAACTTAGTTAAAATCTGGTTTCTTTTAAARCAGCTGCTAATATAAAGTCATATGCATCAGATAGACAGGATGTAGGTTTACTGATTCCAGATTTTATATTGCAGTTTTATTCATTGGTAAAAACTACAAGAAAGATCCACAAAAGCACACAGAAATGAAAAAATTCTTAGTGTTCCTCCTAGAAAAGCATGTGAGTAAAAGATATTATTAAAGAGTATGATTGCTGTTCTAGGTTGAGTTGAAATTACTCTGTTAATCTATAAACAGATTATCTTTTTACAATACCATAASAATTTCGTAAAATTTCATAAAAATGAGTTGATTGGCTAATTTCATTATCGATTTGAGTACAGATAAATAAGCTGACRTCAATGAGTGCACACTCTTTCTGTTGCTTGTTTTGATCACTAAAGACAAGAAGTTTTTGTTGTTGGTATTGAAAAAAGTATGGCATGTAGATTCAAGCTACCTTACTTTGACAATACGCATTTATCGTYRATAAGGGGACAGACTCATTAAATATGACTGTCAATTTGTTAAATGTCTATTTAGGCTAGAATGTACCCAAGCAGGAAGGTCACACTAGTGTTTGATATGCAGGAGACAGGACTCGCAAACATGGTAAGGGAAGCATTGTATGTTAGACTTTTACCTTAGTTGGAAGATCATGTACAATCATTTATGTCCCACAATTGTAGAGCACCTCATACTCTTGTTCTAGCTATAGCTCAAGCTAGAGAACTAGAGAGGGGGAGTGGGATGGGGACTTAAGCGTTCCCATTAGTCCAAGAAACTAAGCTAGACTTCATTTTAGATGTTTTCAAGGGTGCTCCATGGACTTAAGGCTATAGTCACCAGGACTTCAGAAAAGGAGATTTGTATTTGCTGTGTTATTGTGAAATATAAATGTTGAAAAGGGGTAGGGGAGGGTGGGGTTTGTTCTCATCTTTRAACCACTTCATATGATGGACCTGGACATAGAAACTCACATGTAAACTATATTATTAAAGTGYGATAAGATGTGACAACTTTGTGATATTTTTAATGGTTGTATAATACTTTTCTTGTGGATTACAGGATATGGATTTTATTAAGTTCATAATAACTTGCTTTACCAACTACTTTCCTAATACTCTAGGTAAGGGTAAAAGTAAAGCACATGTTGTGATTGTTTTATTTAAAAACAAAGTGAACACATCAACATGTTAACACTTTGGTTTTGTTTTGTTCTTTGAAGCTTGGTTATTGGTTGTGGAGTTACCATGGATACTGTCAGGTACGTGTTGTCTTGCAATATATTTAAAGATTCCRTGTACCTCTAGTTCGTTTACTTTATTGACAAGTCTAGCTTGGATGCATGGATGCACTTTTGTCTTGGCATGTGGTCAAGTTTAATAAGCATTTTTGATTGATTTTCCCATTTCAGACMACATGTTATTCTCTTGAAAAGATAAATCTTTGTTTGAGTTGTATCCATATTCATGTGTCTTATCATGTGCAACGAGGCAAAGAGGGACTGTTTTTAACAGCCAAAGGAGTTTGATATCTTTTCATATAATTTGTTCTAGCTGCTTGGAAGATTGTAAAAACCTGGCTATCACCTGAAGCAGTAAATAAAATCAAGTATGTATCAGGGTTTATGTACATTTTACATTGTACATTGTACATTTGGACACATTAATATCAGTATGTTAAATTTTCTCTTTGGTGTGTATTAATTTCTGATAGATTCATGAACAAACAAGAWTTACTGGATTTTGTTGATGAGGATAAATTGTTGGTGAAGCTAGGAGGAACTGTGAGTATATTTCTTGCTATTTCCACGAGAATTTCTATTTAGAATACACATTTAATACCATTAACACTAAAAACTTGTCATCWCTAATCACCACCGCAAGTTCAGCAGWGGCGCAGCTCAACRGGGTCATATTGAAAGCATGTGAAGGTGCCTTTGGCAGCTGCTTTACAGTCCATGTATGACCCCAGAGCACAGCTCWAAAATTAGGTAATCAAAAGTGATATAGTCTTTCACTATATTTTGCAGGATGCATATCAATATTCCTATCCACCGAGTAAGGAGGATACTGGTCTTGGACCTACAGAKAGGTAAATATCACATTGAGAGAGWGTTAAYTTAATGTATATTTAATTCAAGTTGATTTCTTTTCAACCTATCATTTCTGTGCAAAGCAAATTATMATTTGCAATAAACTAYTTATAAACTATTTRGGTGTAAATACCATCRACTGTGTCTYGTTTTCTCACTTKACTCTGAARATGACTTCCGCTCAGGTTGTCGAAATGTCAGTCACCAYCAACAACAGTCTTTCTCAAGACTAAACTCACCTGGATGATCACATTTCACACCAAACTATTTATAGCCATACTGCTCTAAAGCCCCWTTTACACYGGCAATTTTTGCTGCGATTTTYGTGGCAATTTTCGGAAATATGAAATATTTTGTCTCATCCCTCAAAAGAGACATTCGTCTAGGAAAATCTTGGTATCCTGAAAAAAACTGTACAAGTAAATTCTTTACCATTATTTATTATGGACAAAATCGCAGCAAAAATCRCTAGTGTAAACGGGGCTTAAGAACTGTCTATCTCATGTCTCATACTGTACTATAAAGAAGAAGTTCTTAAAGGTTGTCGATAACAAGCACAGGATGCCATTGTGCATATTAATCTAGAAATTTGGATAACATTGTAGGAATGAAAAGATTTCRAGGGCAATTGTGCCAATGGAAGGTTCAGATGAACCCAGAATGAAATAATAAAATATTGTATTGTATAGATGTGATTTCCTTGATCAATATCTAAACCTACTCTGTTGCAAACACCATGATTTCACACATATTATTGAAAATGGCTATAATACATCAATGAGTGGAATTACAACTATCGTTCCCTTGCAGCACTTTGGAATGCAGCTCAATTTTGGGGACAAAAAAATAGGTTTCAATTCTCAGGATATTGGAATTCTTTTGTTTTGTCCCCCAGATGGAGCTACTTTGACGTCACATGCAAAGGGTCTATTAAGATAATTTTTATAAATTTAATCTCCAGGGATCCAGAGACTCTCGATGCCCCTGCAGACAACATAAGCACAACATTGGCTGATAATACCTCACTTGGTAAAGATGATTATCACTCAATGAGGCTGTCATTTGATGAATCAGATACTTTAACATCAAAAAAGGTATGCTCTTGGTTTTAGTTATTTTATTCAATTAACCCAGTGTAGCAGACATTACGTATATTTTAACTTTTGTTCCAACATCTCAAGATTCATTCTGAAATGCTCTATGGTTACATGTACTAGTATTATCTCAACATTCGGATAAGACTTCATTAGAAGGCACCTCTCAGCTTAGTGGCTCAAACCTTGGTTTTTCTATTTTSAGGTTAAATTTGAGGAAAAGGCTGAGAACAACAATGCAGAGACAAACGATTCCACAGTAAATAATGCAGTAAAGGTAAGTAAAGACTAGATTGTCTTTTCATGTGATACTATGTGTTTTTTATTTTTTTTTTATTTTATTACATTTCAGTTCAGTTCAGTTCAGTTCAGTTCATTTCATTTCAGTTCAGTTCAGTTCATTTCATTTCATTTCATTTTATTGTTATATTGGAGTTCTATCTTATCTATTAACATCTCTTTAACCAGCTTGAGAAATCAAGTACTAATCGTCAGACACCCTTAAAAAAAAGCCCAACACAAGAGCAAAAATCTGTTACCAAGCTTCTTAACATCAAGTAAGTTCACAGTCTGTGAAAGCAAGTTGTTGTAAATCAGTGAGCCTTTGCTTCAATTGCGCTAGAAGTTTTAAATCATGGTTTCTGGGCCGCATTTTAATTATTATTTCCAGGTATTTTTTATGTGTATATTTTTTGACGTTCTTGCCATCTCGAATGTGGTTGCTATTTCTGGAAACCAGTTTCCTGTATTGCGTAAAAAAATCGCGCAAYTTCTGCGATGCGCGGTGAAGGCAATCTCTAATTTTAAAAAACTTCTGGCGTGGCACGAGTTCCTTGTTTTTGGAAAGTTAATTCAATCATGTTGCTTTTTCATAATGTTTTACAGTAAAATATTTTCCAGGTAAGTACATGTTAAAAACCTGGTTCAGTTTCAAACTTCTACTACTTTTTCTATTTTTCAGACCCGCGCAAGAGTTAGTTTTCACGACAGCACCAAACAACTCAGGGGAAATACTTCAGATTCTGACTCTGGACAACGGTACTTCTTCGTCTGTAGCATTTAAGGTACGCCGCGCCRAATGACCTTGAAAATGTCAATATATTTCTTAGATCAACTCTAACATTGCGCTTCACAATACTGATAAAAATAATAGAGCCAGCAGTATTTGTATGATTGTGAACATTTATGACAATGACGTTGTGCCTTGCGGTGCTTTACCATGATGGTGTCGTGTCCACGCATTCCTAYTAGATGAGTAGAAACCTCGCTGTCCTGTTGGGTCTATGGATGGTGTCATTTTGCGTACTGCGACGGTTCCCCTTGCAGTGACATTTCAAAGTCGTACAAAATCTACTCATTCAGACATTTCAGGCTAGTTACTCTCTTGGATGCGCCTCTTTCAAAGTGCCAAAAAATATCAATCTGTATTGAAATTATTTATATTTATACTTGATGCGCACAACGTTGCAATGCCTAAGAGTTTTTYCAAGTGATATCAACKTGGTAGGCGTGGGGCTGRGATTCCTCAGTAAATGTTGAAAAASCTTGTRACACTTGATTATATATTAGAAGTATCTGAGAAGCACATMACRTGTCTTTTTTATTCTCAGGTTAAAACTACTTCTCCTGAAGGGTATCGAGTACGTCCAAGCTCAGGTTGTATCAGCCCAAACTCCTTCACAGACGTGAGTGTGTTCTTACAGCCAGGTAGGTCCTGAAAAAATGTTCAACTTTCTTCATTGTAGTGGCTCCTCCGCAGCCGCAATCCCGTACCCAGAGTCCTCCATCGCCTTCCTGTCGTCGGTGCTGACCAAAAAAGCCGGAAGACTCTAGTCGGGATTGCCGCAGCCGTYATTAGTTTCGGCCCCAGATCCTCACGGAGAGGGCCCGTGAGGATCTGAGACCAAGATTAATGATGGCCGCAAAGGAGACTATCTTCATAGAAGCGATAAAATAGTTTTTTAATTTCTTTATTTATCCTTAATAACTTTCAATTGTAAAACTAGGTCATGCGTCACAAGTTGGTCGAGATAAGTTTCTGGTAATGTCGACTGAAATTAAAGAAGGGATGACAGCATCGGACACGGCAACTGTATGGAAAACTGCTCCAAAATSCAGCATTCTCGAACACAGGTATCCCAACACGCCTTTTCCTGCTATAATGGGTCTTAATGGGGTTGCGCATCACATGGTCCTATGCCGCGGTTTGTRACTGTTTTGATCTTTTGTCTACCCAGGCTGCGGTGTTCAACAGATAAACCCACCAACACAACACATCGCAGTGATAGTTTAGAAGCGTCAGAAGAGACTACTCTTGCGGCCAAGGTAGACGCCTTGACGGAACACTTGAAATCAGTTGAAAGAAAGGTGAGATAGTAACATTCCTAAGCTCTTTGTAAAGTAACGAAACACTTCTCCATGTCTGATAACTTTATCGCGCACAATGTCCATCTCACAAAATTTGTTTTAATCATGTCGGACGTTTTTCGCGCTCATCCATGTGCAAAAAAGTGACCCTTGTAGAGCAAGAATTGATATTTGAGGAGGTGAATTTGGTGCAAATACTTTTGTTGATTAAAAAATTATAGATTATAATTTCCTCAATAGAACCATAATTATTTTTGAGTTTTATTGCGCTCGTTATATTTGTATGCTATGTTATATTGAGTGTTACACTAACTTTTTGTTTTCCCCGCAGGTTGATAGGATTGATAAGAAGATCTCATACGTTGAGGAAGGCCTTCAAGTCTTCATCAAAGTTCAACTGGGACTTTTCTCTGGAATGATTATTCTTTTTTCAATTGTTTTTTATTATTCAATGTACGTTATGMCATAAGAGAACCTTCATCATAAGACTAGTATCAACACCTGGCTTATTACCCTGGGTGCTAGAGGCCCGTGTAGGTCTCAGTAGGGGGGACAGGAAGAGGCCTCTGGTACCCAGGGTACGGGCTAATCTACATCTATTGAAAAATGGGAAATAATCGAACGAAATTAATATAGAAATGAATGGGAGTTTGTCATAAATTTTAAGACTGCTGGACTGATTTTTAAGGTGTATGATAAAATGATCATAAATTTAGTGGGAAAAGCAGGTATAGATAAGTTATTCTGATTAGATAATGAACTTTTAGTAACTCAAGGTGAGAGAATGTTAGCGAAATCAATTCAAGGCGCGTTTCAAGTCATATTATAAATAATTTTTTTTTTTTTTAAAGATATACACACTGTAATGGGGCTACCTTGGGTTGTTTTATTTCTGTCGACCAAAAAGGATAATCTTTAGCTTTAAGATTTACATCAGTAATAAAATTCATGAGTTGCTTTTTGAATTCACATAAAGAAATGAATAAAAGAAAATACAATTTCGAAGTAATATTTGTGTTGTTTCTGTATACGATAATGTGACAAGCGGGCTTCCTGTGTTATAGTCACGCATAATTTTAAGAAAATCTTAATTTTTTTAAGGATTTATTTTCATTATTTAGCAAGTTAGTTCCTAGGTCATTGCTACGTAAATGAAGTATTTCTTACTGTAGAACTTTCACTTGGCGTTAATTCGACGACATTTTTGTGCAGAATGTGCAAAATGCAAATAATTTGGTCATATCATCTGTCTTTGTGATCAGCTGATTCTCAACATAAGGTATGCACAAACACTCTCTTCCGCCATTTTGTTCAGTGTTGTTCTTTAGCTTCAAGACGMCGTAAGTATACTGCAACTTTACGTCGAATTTTCCCTACTTAATCTGAAAAGGAAGAAAAATCATTACCTTAATCGATAAGTTAAAGAACCCGTTTATCATTCTACGGTGAGTTTGTGTTGAAATTTAAAAAGAAAGTTGATAAATTGAAATTGTTTTGTCTTGAGTAAAGCCTGTGTTGATAAAGTTAAAAACCTAATATTGCAATTAATATGATTACAATTTTCTTAGGTCACCCAAGAACATAGAATTAGCAATCGTAGCAATCACATATGTCATAGGAAGAAAAATACAAGGCTCTACATTATAGACAAAAAAAGGCTTTGGGAAGGGAAAATTATAGCAAGATGCCAACAACTGTAAACTATGGAATACGAGACGTATGGAAAGACAATATGGAAGAAGAGTTTGCAAAGATTAGAGAGATTGTACAGGAATATCCATATGTAGCTATGGTAAATACTGTCATTTGTATACTTTATTTATGAATTACAAGAAATACGCCTATCTTGGATGCTAAGTTTTGAGTCACCAAACCATTTCATTTCAGTTCAGTCCTAATTTTTGCTTCTTTCATGTCAAAAGTATTTTGACTTGGGAATGTGATCTGAAAAAGGTCTGATAAAACTTTTAATTWTTCACCAAGGAGTGAAAAATGAATGATTAAATGAAATGTTTGAATCAGAATGTGAATGGGATGTCTTTATTTTCATTTAGGATACTGAATTTCCAGGTGTTGTAGCAAGACCRATTGGTGAATTCAAAAGTACATCGGAATACCAATTTCAGCTGTTGAGATGTAATGTTGACTTACTCAAAATCATTCAGTTGGGAATGTCATTCTACAATGAAAAAGGTCTTCAACCCTCTGATGGCGCGACTTGGCARTTCAACTTTAAATTCAATCTAACGTAAGTAAGAAAACTTACCAGACTGCCAGTCTGAATGTTCAACAGTCAAAACCACTAATTTACCTGACAAATATCTGATGCCAGGCACTAATTTGCAGGCTTGATGAAGCTAAAGTATTATTGACTGGTTTCATTTCAGAGAAGATATGTATGCACAAGATTCAATTGATCTGTTAAATAGATCAGGCATACAGTTTAAAAGACATGAAGAAGACGGCATCGATGTCAATGATTTTGCAGAACTTCTTATCACCTCAGGGCTCGTTCTACAGGATGAAGTCAAGTGGCTATCTTTTCATAGGTATTTATATGGGTTATTTACCACATGGGTAACATGTGGTGGGCTAACATCCCTTTACAGCTCCTTTATTTTACAGAAACCAGAAATAAGAAAGTCTTATTAATGATCTTAGTTTAGTTTTCTCACAATTTTGTTTGAGAAGGCCAGAAGTCACAATTTTTACTAASAGTTAAAATCTGAGATTCCTATGCATTACGTACTGTATAAGTGCTTACTATAGGAGCTCAACTATAGTAATGATGTCTTCTTTAATTAGCTCTAACCCAACATGACATCTAAATATAGATATTATTAAGATTATTATTAACTCATTAATATTTATTTTATCAYAATTCATTATTATTGTTTACTTAAGTGTTGGTTCTAGTTCCAAAAGTGAAGTTTCTTATTTTAGTTTTTTTAATATTAGGATATCTACTAATTYTTTATCTATGTTTGTTACAGTGCCTATGACTTTGGCTATTTAATCAAGGTACTAACAGCACAGAATCTTGCACAAGAGGAAGCAGAATTCTTCGAATTACTCAAGCTATATTTTCCTAATATTTATGATGTCAAATACCTTATGAAAAGCTGTAAAAGTCTCAAGGGTGGACTGCAAGAAGTTTCTGAACTTTTAGAGGTAGAGGGAAATCATTATTCTAATGTTTTAAAAATGTCATAATTAAGGGGTATTTTTAGTTTAATCTCTCATWTTTTTTTTTCATTTGAAGCTTGAAAGAATCGGGCCTCAGCATCAAGCTGGCAGTGATTGCCTACTRACAGGAAATTCTTTCTTCAAAATGAGAGAGGTAACATTACACTTGTTTCTCTGAATGAAAAAATAAACAAAGGAAGAGGGGGGAATGATGGTAGTCACTATAAGTTGAGCATTTCTAATGAATTCATAATTAACAAATAAACGTAAATAAATTCCTGATACAAATTTTTAAAACATTTTTTGAAATRTATTTTGTCAGATGTTTTTTGAAGATAATATTGACGACAGCAAATACTGTGGACATCTCTTTGGATTGGGTAATTCATATGTTAATGGTGGACAAGCGTACAGTGGACCAACACTAAAACCATAGTATATTAATGATATACTAATATTTATAAAGATATACATTATCCATACCAATCTATTTTTACTGATCTCTTACACCAACTTGTTTTTATTAGTACTTCAGACACCAATGTATAAAAGGCTCGGATAATCATTATTGATAGCTTACAAATAGATACACTTTGGTAAATAATAAGTTGCCTCAGTGCTTCCATTTGTATTTCTATATTTTTGTGCAGTCGTTTTTGGTTGATTTTTTTCATAAGAACTGGAAGCTGATAGATCTTATACATTGAGTGAGGAAATCCTAAATCTATTTTAGAGAAGCACATATGTTTTTAATTAACTCCTGTCTCCATTTTTTAAGAACATCATCTCTGTGTAACTGAGGAACTCTTGACTTAACAGTTAAGATATTTCATGAGTACTCATTTTAATCTTTTCTCCATTGTATGACGAATTCACTTTAAAAAATCAGGAGATATCCTTGTATGTTCTTTCCATAGCAGATATAGACCCCTTGCAGGGACGACAAAGCAGCTGATCTAGGGGACAAAACAATAGAATTTCAATCTCCTTAGAATTGGAACCTATTGTTTTGTCCCCCAGATTGAGCTGCATTCCAAAGTGCTGCAACTGGTCTATTAGTGCCCTAACTCTTACTAATGAGATTCACCTACCTTATTCATTCTGAAGTTATTATTATAGCTGATATAAATGTCTGTAATACTAGAGAAGTATATAACTTATGATTGATTAATTTTAACCATAGTTTTATTCAAAGATTCTGTTACATTTATTATCTGGGCAGGTGTCTGAAAAATAAAGAGTTTTTAAGCATTGTTACTATGTCTTTGTACTCGACCATTTCCAACTATCTTGGACTGAATGAGAGTTTTGTTCATATGCAACACATGCTAATATTTCTTGGTCATCAGACAATGTCTGGCCACAATTGGAACTTGTCTGGTCAAGTATTTGCCTTGCTAGTTATTTTTGACCAGTAATAGAGTGATTTTACTTTGCCTTTGAAACAGAGTTGTAATATTTACTGAGTTACAGTGTMAAACAAAAGAAAACACTAGAATTTGTGTCTACTAATATGTATTACGTTGACTATTCTTTCACAGGCAAAGTARAATCATTCTATTACTGTGGTAATGAGTGTGCCAGAAGTGAGGTTTGACCAAGCTAAAACTAATTTGGCCGGCCATCATGACCTGCAATTGAATGGCTGTTATTCMATCCATGTGTGTGGTCTAGAAAGGGGAAACCAATACACTTGAACTGGAAAGGTTTATAAATAACTTACCCTACATCAAACAGTACTATCACAGTCTACTCAATAGCATTTGATACTCAGGCCCAAGATGGCTTAGATTAATTCTTTTACCTGCCTAGTGGTATCCACCTTTCCTGTTGGCAGTCTAATATTTCGCYTGAGCAAGAGAAATTAATGATGATGATTATGATATTTATATAGCGCTCATATGGATATGTTCAAAGGCGCTTTACAATGATTTATGAATAAGAGATGGTTAGTATGAGGTATAAGCACTGAGGGTGGTCACTGCTAGGSTTTCTTTACCTCCTCAGTGGTTCTTTTACGTCCCTCCAATGTTGGTTAGTAAGTGTGGAGAGACAGGCCACCATTTAAAGTGGTCATCCAAGCCACTTCAAAGTCTAACCAATTGCAGATGTAATTACAAAGGCAGCACTTTCTCCTCAGTTACTCTAGCACCCTGAGTGTTGGTCCGGCCAGGACAAGAACCATGACCTCCCCCATGAAAGTGTCTCATCACACACTGGTTAGTACAAAAATCAAATCCTTGCTATAGGTAGCAATACACCACACATTCATATGAAAGATTACTTTTATTTTT